GCAATATACGAAGTCTAGAGGGATCGATCTGACGTCGTATTAAATTCTACGCGTTAGTTTTTGGCAATATAGGAAGTCTAGAGGGATCGATCTGACGTCGTATTAAATTCTACGCGTTAGTTTTTGGCAATATAGGAAGTCTAGAGGGATCGATCTGACATCGTATTAAATTCTACGCGTTAGTTTTTGGCAATATACGAAGTCTAGAGGGATCGATCTGACATCGTTTTAAATTCTACGCGTTAGTTTTTGACAATATAGCAAGTCTAGAGGGATCGATCTGACGTCGTCTCAAATCATTACAATGTTATATTCCACTAGCATTTTCTTTGAAGTTGAGATCAGTGATGTAAACTATCAGGAGTTACTGTACTTACTAGTGATGTAAAATACATTCATCAAAGATCCATTTTGCCTATAAAATCTACTTCGTCTCAGGCGGATCGCTTGAAGTTCGACACTTTCTTTGGCTTAACATCAAATGATTATTATAGGTCCCAAGTCAGTCCCTTTTCCCATCTATATGCTGTATTGAAATGATTCTAACGAGGAAATAGCCTATCACCCGTACTATCGTCAGCCTCACAACCTCACAGCTCCGCTATCATCAAGATGTAGATACATCCTATTCACCACGTTCATTGACTGAGCTAAGCTATAGCAGAAATATGTCTAACACTGTCATTCCCATTGCGGATACTTTCCACTACTACCACAAAGGATCGGATTCAAGGCCAGCTTGGGCTTACAACAATGCTCGACAGCAAATCGCGGGTAAATGGGCTGGCTTTATGAAAGCTATGCCGGATACAGCAAACGTTAAAATTCAGGATGTTGTTTTCGAAAACCTAGGAGGGTCCATCTCACGTTTAGGGGTTTTCCCTAAGAATGTGAAAGTTTCAGGTGCAGGTAGTAAGACCAAGAAGTCCTGGGACGGAAAAAGGACTTGGGAGACCTGGTTTGATGTTGAGTATGAGCTCCAACTTATTTTTGTGTCTTCCGCGGACGCAGGGAAGGTTGGGAGTGGCCTGTCAATTGATGAGATCAATAAGGGTATAAGTGCTGCAGGTGTAACTTAAAAAAGTTATTTCCAAAACATCGGTGTTTGTCTGTTTTGCTATTATTCAAGATTGCACATTAATTAAATTGATGATCTTGACTTTTAATTATTTGTATTGTCTGACTGCTTATGTATAAGAAGCTATGACGTTGATCTCTAGATCTCCTGCTAATCTCGGTTGATCAGGGGCCAGTTGATCTTGTCTTCCCTTTCAAGAATACATAGTATGCTGGCACTGGTGGATTTTGTTCAAATCTGGTCTACTATTACCAGGACATGTCTGCTGCTGATCACCTGCAGGGGCGAGCAGTAATCCAGTTAGGAGTTTGCCCAGAGGTAACAAGTATAGAAGGATAGAATTAGGTTCTTATAATTTTACAGCACTAATTTCTATATAGACCTTAAAAGGATCTGTTCTAATCCAGATCCAGATCAGTGGATCAGGATTAAAGAATTAGATCTATAAGATAATTTCATAAATTCTTAATCTGTCTTGTTTAAAGTAGATTAATCTAATTTATTCCAAAGTATCTAGATAGATATAAGTCACAGCTCAGAACACTAGTTGTTTCTAATTAAATTAAAGATTATATTATAAACTACTTTAACTTTACTCACTTTTCGAAACCTGCTTATAAATAACAATAGATACTATATAGACAAGAAGCTATATTATACAGTATTATAAAGTCTAATAATTCTCTTCTTTGTTGCGTGATGAATATTCTAAATATATCATGTCTTCTATCTGCCGAGAATTGGACCAGACATGAAGGATACACACAATTGCTTGCCTATCTCTTGTCCTGCTGCTTGATGTCAAAACCAACCCCGAACCAAAGGTTCCACAGGAATGAGAGCGAGATGCCAGATGCTCGTAGAATCTGGGAAGGTGCTACCCACATCATATAGTGTATGGGAGTAGCATGACATGCGTGAGGTCTATTTCCGGGGAAACATTAGCATATAGCAGTCTGGGGACGAGCCAGATATGATTAATAACCAATTTTAGCCTTCGTCTACGGCTTTTAGAAAGGATGGAACTATGGCGTGATTAAGTAAGGGGTATTCTTTCCTCACAGGGTGTTTCCTCCCGGTATCTTGTGTTCCCTGGGGTTCTGTGTTCTAGAAGGAGGATAAAACCAGAGATGCATGCGAGTGCCAACACTGTCGCAACTTGGTGGGTCCAGGCGGCAGACTGTCCTTGAATTCCTGGTTAAAGGCATCGTCATCTGTCCGACGTGAGGCTCAAGATGCCAAGTCTACCAAAGACGAACTCAGAGCGCTGCAGCCATTCCAGTACGGGCATATCGGCAGACCCGGTGGTGGTTTAGAACTGACTTTTGGATGTTTCCTTCCTGCTGGGTTGGGGCATCATGATGGAACATGATCAGCTGGGGTGTATACACCCAACGAATTAAAGTTTCCATGACCTCACCGGTCAACCTACTCCCCTCTCAAGATTCATCAGGAATGCGTTGCCTGCAAGGAACTGAAATATTGATTGTCATGGCCAAGAACTGCATGGCCCGTAGGGGAAGGTCGGTTGGGTCACATTACGCCCCTTGCCCTAACATCTCCATACTATCTCTTTACTAGACGAGGAGTATGCTTTGCATTGAGTCCACACATTCCATACGTCCCTGTGTACTCAAAATTTGGAGTCCACATGACCAAGCCCTTATCGTTAGACACATTCGGCAAGGGGTAGAAATTGATATGGCCGTTGACTAAATCACTGCCGATAAGGTGACAAAACTGCCACTGATAACAATCACAGCCACAACTACCTACTAAGGTACTTTGGGAGTTGATGATCACCGATTTTGGTTACTGTCACACTGCGCCCCATCGTCGGCCGTGAAATGGCCTGAGAGACTAGGGGAGTGTGTAATAGCCCCGGTTGGGTTATACCGCGCGTTACGACTGCGTTCTACCACACTGCACGGATGTGGAACCACCATACATCCTTCGTCTGGGAAAGGATGCCTCGGGTGGAGTCAGATGACCTACTAGCAGGTATTCATCTATAACGCAATCGACATCCACGAGGCGAAAAAGAAAAGAATAGAGACGACAATAAGAAGAATCAGAAAACGGCTGACACAATAAGTCGTCGCGCCATGGCTAAGACCTCAAGTTTATCAGAGCTCTAAATGGGCCTGGGCGTCTTGATAGCTTGGCATCGATAGCTACGACTCTCTATGCCAGCCAAGCCCCAAAAATATGCCCCGTGGTGATCATGACATCACTCCTAGTATCACTGATAACGGGCCGAACAAATAGCAAGTGTGACAGCCTCCATGAGACGAAAGTCTGGAGATCCCCGCGAGAATCTTAGCCGATCGAGGGCCGGTCGATCCTTTCATTCTTTCCAAGAATACATAGCTCGCTGGTACTGGTGGATCTCGTTCAAATCTGGTCTACCACTGCCAGGACATGGCTGTTGCTGATCACCCGCAGGGGCGAACGGCAATCCGGATGGGAGTTTGCCAAGAGGTAACAAGCATGGGAGGATGGAATCGGGTTCTTATCACTCGTCGATTGCGTGCATTGGATGCTTGGCAATATTGGGATTGACGAAGATTGACCGGAATGTTCTGACGCGGCCCGGTAGATCTTCCTGGTTCCAAGGCCTCATCATGGAGACCCTCGTTCGTCTGTTTCAAACTCGTGAAACATGGTCGTAGATCCAAGGTAGCACGCGTCAATAATGCATGGGAAGTTCTGAAAGAGATACCCGCCAAGAAGGTCACTAAAGACTGTTGAGTTTTATGGCATGTCAATGGGTGCGAAAGGGGTTGAGATCGAAAGCCAACATTGCCTCTCCCCACTCCTAGACCATGATATAAACCTCGAGTTTGCCCGACAAGAAGGGTATTATCATTGCATTAACCACTCTTACAATGACGATCTTCGAGAACCCTTCAAGTTCGACCGTCGTCCAGGAAGTTCCTTCCCACTCGGACATATCGACTTGCAAAGGCTCCGAGAAGCGCTCTTTCAAAGCCAGGCTGAAACAGTTCTGGCTGGGGGAGATCGATGTCCGATGGACGGACCTGATTCTGCTGGCCTGCACCTTCTCCAGCGGTCTCATTGACGGGCTTGCATTCAACGCCTGGGGAAATTATGTCAATATGTACACCGGTATGTTCACACACCATGAACCCATACGGACCTCCCAATTCAACCACTAACCAAAAACAAGGCAACACCATCTTCATCGCCCTCGCCATCTCAGGTAAACCAGACTACTCCCATAAGCTCTGGATCAGGGCAGCTGTTGCCGTCGTCAGCTTCCTCGTCGGCAACATCTTCTTCATCCACTATGGTCGGCTCCTTGGTCCCCGTCGCCGCATAGCTGTCGTCAGCTCCTTCGCCATACAGACCATATTCCTGCTCATCACAGTACTTCTCGTCGAAGGACGAATTATAAGTCCGCAGCCAGACCGCTTCGAGCCCATCAACTGGATTCAGACCGTTGCGATCGCCCTGATGTCATTTCAGGGCGCTGGCCAGCTGGTGGCGTCGCGCTTTCTCACTGTCCCTGAGATTCCCACTGTCGTGCTGACGGCGCTCGTCGCGGACCTGCTCATGGACCCCTTGCTATATCAGCGTTCGTGGGGATCCAACATCAGGCGGAACCGGAGGGTTGGCGCCATCTTGACCCATTTCGCGGGAGCCACTGCTGCCGGTGGGATGATCAAGCACACTGGGCTGACAGGGGGGTTATGGCTTTCCGTAGCCCTCAAGGCGACTATCACGTTGACGTTTGTCGGGTGGAGTGAGAAACCCCCTGTGCCTCCGAAGAACGTCGTGTAGTTTCTTCTTCGTCCATATATAAAGAAAGAATAAGAGAGCAAGAAAGGAAGGAAAAGGAAGGCAGAAACCAAGGATCGAGAGAAGGAACCGGAAACCAGTTGAACCAAAGTGATACCCCACCAGCTTCGATAGCTAGACACGCCAGATCAACCATTCAGTACGTTACCTTCTATCTAGACATCTAAATCCTAAATACGCCAATAGTAAAAGCAACACCATCACCCCACCGACGCCAGAATACGCACCACCCCCCAGTGCCCGTTCCGCGCAGCCCACTCTCCCGCAATCTTAGTAGCCACAGCCCCCCTCTCAACCAACATACGCACGACACCCTCCTTACCAGCCTGGGCAGCTAGCACGAGCGCCGCTCTCTCCTGCTGCCTTGACACCTCCACATCGTAACTTTTGCGCGCGTGTACCTCGTCGAGCAGCCTGTTCGCGACGTCAACGTACCCACACGCCACTGCGAGCCCCAGCTCTGTCAGAGTCATCCTGTAGGGCGGATCGCCTGGATGAAGCGTCAGCCGACACCCGTGCGATAGAAGCACGTCCACGGCGGACAGGTGGTTCCCGATAACGGCTAGCTCGAGCGGAGTGCGGCCGCTGCGGTCTAGGTAGTTGGGGTCGACGCCGTGGTGGAGTAGGACAGTGATTATGGCTGCGTGGCCGTGCTGGGAGGCGATGGTGATGGGGTGGGTGATCTGAGGGGCGGCGGTGAGCTGGATGGGTGTTGGGTGGCCGAGAAGAGTGGTGGTTACGGTCGTGGCATTATTGTAGCTGGATGTGAGTGGGAGGGAGACCCCGTAGGTGAGGAGCTTGGTGAGTGTCGTCGGACGGTTGCGCGTGGTGGCCCAGGTGAGTATGGGGTCCAACTCGGTGGACTGGCTCTGGTTGTGCTGCTGGATGTGATGTTTGTAGAGGTATGGGTTGATTGTCGTGTAGACGCGGTGGTCGACTTGGGAGAAGGCGTTGGTGTCGGATGTTGAGAGGTTCTGGGCAATGAGCAGGTGGAGTTCCGCGGGGAGGTTGAGAAGGCAAGTCATGGCTATATTTTGGCAATCCTTGTCGGTTTCATCATTCGAATGGGTTTATATCCAGCTGTCCCTTGGAGGTTGGTTCTCGGGATTGGAGTGAGACGTCGATGTGACCCCCCGCTTCACGGTCCAGCCCTTGCATATTCAGGCCACTGTCGTAGCCCTAATTGGCTTGCCTTGCATGGTGATTGATTGGAATGCGCACTTGGGCGCGTAAGTTGAGATATAATCAGTTTACAACTGTATGGTCAGCCATATATGGTACTCGCGTCTCTCTGCATAATTTAATAGGGAGGGGTATCTCATTCTTGAAGTTCGTGCAGATCACGAACGTGATCTTCGCTGTCGAGCTGCACCCCCAAACTATATCACCAACTACACCATTCCGCAACAACCGAAATTGAAGCATCTCAACCATGACGATATCCACTGAAGGATGAATCTAGAACAAAATGGCTAATTTTCAAGTGGGCCGCCACACCGGGGACCTCGGGATCGACGTGGGTCTGCCAACCATGGTTTCCCCCAACTGACATCAGAACGACAAGGTTGACACTTTCAATCCCTGACTGGCGCGCCAGGAAGCTATCCCAGCGGATCCCCCGCAATGTCATCCCCGACAAGCCCTAATTTGATATCCCTTCTTTCAATCGCCGACAGCTATCGGCGATAGCATCGCCAGGTAAACTATAAGTGAACGGATGAACTCACCAGACAAAAACAAATAAACCACCCTCTAAGAATCTATTAACCATGGATCCCATCGTCCACACTGTCTTTGAACCTTCCACCGGCACCTGGCAGTACGTGGTGGCCTGTCCATCCACCCGTGCCGCCGCCATCATCGACCCCGTCTTGGACTTCGACTTGGCATCCGCCACCATCACCACCCGCTCCGCTGACTCCCTGCTTGCCCTGGTCAAAGAGCACAACTACACCGTCACCTACCTCCTCGAGACGCACGCCCACGCGGACCACCTCACGGCCGCCGCTTACTTACAGGAGAAGCTGGTGGCGTCGGGGCAGCCCCGGCCCCCGATCTGCATTGGCGCGCGCATCCGCACCGTGCAGGAGACTGCCGCCCAGAAATACCACATCCCCGAGTCGGAGCTCGCCCAGGCCTTCGACAAACTGCTCGCCGACGATGACCAACTCCCCCTTGGCAACCTCTCCATCACCCTCCTCCACCTCCCCGGCCACACCCCGGACCACATGGGCTACCGCATCCAAGACAATATCTTCACCGGCGACTCCATCTTCAATCCCGACGTTGGTAGCGCCCGCTGCGACTTCCCCGGCGGCGACGCCCGCGCCCTCTTCCATTCCATGAAAACTCTCCTCAACCTGCCGCCCTACGTCCGTCTGTACACAGGCCACGACTACCCACCGGCTCCGGCCACAGAGGCAGACGCCAAGCGGGCGCCGCTGGCGTACGTTACCGTCGCCGACCAAAAGGCGCGCAATAAGCACGCCAAGGACGGCAGCGCGGAGGAAGATTTTGTGCAGTGGAGAGCGGACCGCGACAGCGGTTTAAATGAACCCCGGTTGTTGCATCCCGCGCTGCAGGTCAATGTCCGTGGAGGCCGAATGCCGGTCGGGATGGAGATGGCGATGACGCCTGGAGGGGACAAAGTGGGTCTGCGGTGGGGCTGAGAGGTCCCCGATCGGGATTAGGGCTTTGTAGCCCGGTATCTCCCAGTTGTTCGGGTAGGTTGAGGCTACGGGATAGGGCTGAGGGTCCCCAACAACTTGTACATATGTTGTACTTCCCATTGATTGGGAAGTTCTTAATTACTTGTCTTTTTTTTTTCTCACATTTTTCCTTCATGTTACTTCATTTGACAGACGGAAGTGTCCCCAACTGTCGACACCGTCCATGCGTCGGGGACGTCGGCTTTGGTGCCATGGTCGCCGAATCGGGGATCTCGGGAACGAAGCTTCCTTTGTCATTTTATGATTTTACACAGGACGTCTCGCCCTCGGACGCCCGTTTGATATAACTTGCCGATCTGCTGGGGTTTTTTAGTTTGATTTTATTTTTATTTTTTTTTCTATTCCTTGTTTAGTCGTATTTTGTATGGTTTAATCTTATTTTATTTTTTTCTCTTATCTATCTATACTCTATATTCAGTTCCTTCGTTACAGCATGTCCCGTCCCTCGTCCCTAGCGTGCGTTCCCTGCCGCCGTCGCCACCTTAAATGCGATGCGCGCATGCCTGTCTGTTCACGCTGTTTATCCTCGAATATTGACTGCGGATACGTGCGGTCCCGGCGTGGCTTGCGGGGGAATAACGCCGCGCAACCAATCGAGGAGGGCCTGCCTCTCTTTGGGGGAGACAATAGTCTCACAGACTGGTTGAATGCCACAGCCTTACCAACAGATCTCGATGTGCGTAGTTTATTATCTTTAAGATATCAAAAGAACCAGGATTAACAAACCCAGCCAGGAACCAATTTTCTAGACTCCCCACACACCCTGATCGACCTCCCCAGTCTCCCGGACGATCCGCTCTGGGCGCCCCAAGCCCTAACCAACTACGACCACAACTCCCAAAACAACACCAACAATAATGACCGCAATAACGATCGTGATGAATCCGACGAAATCGCCTACGACCCCATGATCCAACTCTACTACCAAAACTTTCACCCCTCGCATCCCATCCTCCTCCCCCGCAAAGCCCTCCACACGCCCCTCCGCCGCCACCTCCCCCACTACCTCGTCTCTCTAACCCGCTATATCGGCGCCCACTTCTACCCCCACTCAGCCTTCCAAGAAGCATACGTCCGCGCCGCAGACGCCGCGCGCGTCGCGCCGGACACGGACGGGCCTTTCAAAGTGCAGGCGCTACTACTCCTCGCTATCGTTGACCATGCCCACGGCGCTGAAGACCGCGCGCTGCTCTCCCTCCATGAGGCTATCTCCCTTGCTCTTGAAATCGGCATGCACCGTGCGAGCTTCGCAAATGCGCATTCTCGTGACAGTTCACTCCTGGCGGAGAGCTGGCGCCGCACTTACTGGGAGCTGTTTGTCGTTGATGGGCTTCTGGCCGCTATGCGCGATCAGGCTCCGTTTAGACTGTACACTCAGCCTGCGGACGCGGGCATACCTTGTCAGGAGATTGTGTATAACGGTGTACAAGATATGGTACGCATTCCTTCCTTCATCTTCACACCTTTGCAACTCGAAACAAGGTAGAAGATCATTTCATCTAACTAGTACTACAGCAACTCCAACATCTCCCCCCACCAGTCCACGATTTCTACACCTCCTCCTACGCAGCCCGCATAGACGCAGTGCGCACCCTCGGCCGCGTCCTCGAAGTCAACCGCTCGCTGGAAATGGACCTCGAAGAGCAAGTCGAGTGCGTAGACGCCGCGCTGTCATCTCTCCTCATGCATCTCCCCTCGTGCACCTCCTACGACACCAGTCCTGAAGTCGACGAGATGCTTTTCCAAGCTAAAATGATCACCTACTTGTAAGCCTCCCCTCTTTTTCCCGCATATCCCATAAATTGTAGAGAAAGCCAACAAAGAAACAGAAGCCAAATCTACCTCCACCACCCCCGCTCCACCCTCCGCTTCGCCTCCTTCCAACAAGCCCGTTCAGCATCCTCCTCCTGCACGCGCTTCAAAACACTCACCCCCGCCGAAGCAGGCGGTGCTGTCGGAGAAAACCAAACAGCCCTCGACGTCCTCCCCGACGCCCCCTCAACCTCATCCCCCCTATTCCCCCCATCAAACTCCCGCCAACGCTCACACCCACACCCTCCCCCCTCCGCATCAACACAAACAACCCCACACGACATGGACATCCACTCGCGCAAGTTCCTCCGTGCCGCAGACCACCTCTCCAACCTCGCCACGCTCCCCTCGGCCATAACCCGCCGCACGCCGTTCTTCACCTGCGCGCTGGCGATGTGCGTCGTGGTCCACACGGCTGCGTTTCTGGTCGTCGGGTCGGGAAGCGGCGCCGGCGGCGCCGGCGGGCAGGAGGCTGCGACTGCGACTGCAAAGAGGGACGTGCTGCGCGCGAGGGTCCAGTTGGGCTTTGGGGGGCTGAATGTGCTGGGGAGGGTGTGGCCGCTGGCGAAGACTGTTAGGAGGCAAATGGTGGAGATGGGGAGGGAGGTGGGGTTGTAATTATTCCCCCCTTTTTCTTTTTACGTCTTTCTTTTTTTTCCAGTATATGGATGGATAGAGGACCTTCGTATGTGTATATTATGTTTTCTTTATGGTGTTGTTGTTGGTGGCGTTGGGTGATTGCGCAATTGCGCGGGGTGGTTTGACTCGGTCGGATCGGGTTTATATATTATTATTTGCCATGCGCGGTGTTGGGCGATGGCTTTTTTTTCGGGGGATATAGTACTTCCGTGTTATGGTTCGAATACCTGGGACTAGTGATTCCTTCGTGAACTAGTTAGTTTTATTCATTTATTATTAATTAAATAACTATATGGCTGGGGTAGGTATTTGACATCATGTCAGGTGGGGGCCGTAGATTTGTGAGATATAACAATAGTATATGATACGTATTGATTGGGATTAAATAGTGTATCAAGATAATGCCGCTCAGCGCCCGATGTGGAAGTTAGTCCATTCATCTTGTTCATAATTTTTGACTGGATTATGGCCTTGAACCCGACCAGAAATCCAAAGTATATCGATCTCAATATGTACAATCTACAGGGTATCCATACCAGGCACTCCAAACCCCAATCACCAGTACCCATGGGTATCAATAATCCATCATCAAGAAGCGTGCGAGTAGCCGATTGTAAACGGTGAAATCAATATGCGAAAGAAGTGGGAAGAAGTGGAAAGAGAAGAGAAGGAAACGTCGCGGTAACATGCGTCGCAATCATTTCCGCCATATTCGGAATGGCGGCTCGTGGCCGGCCGCAGCCCCCGGGGAATCTCTGCTCGATTGGGAATCCCGCTCTCCCTGCGAAGGATATGCGGGTTCGCTGGTGATCTCGATGGTCGTGTGCTGGTACACTTTCCCCATCGGAGTCATCTCGATGCTGCCGGGTTGGACGATGTTGTCCGTCGAGCCATCCCGCATTCCTGTATCGTCCAGCTCTTCGCCGCGGACCGTGCGCAGCGCACTGATCTCCGTGCGGTTGTAGCTGGGGTCGGCGGTGAATGTCGCGAAATGGTCTGTCTTGCGGGTCCGTGTGCTGGGGAACTGGTTGTAGCTCCGGTCGTCGCTGGGCTCCGATTCCAGGATGAGGTTTCGCCGGGTGAGCGTGTACAGGAGCACGTCGACCAAGCCTGAGCTTGTGATCAGGGCGCCAGCGATGCAGAAATACACCAGGCTCGGCGTCTTCCCTTGCGCGGTGGCCATGCGCCCCGCGGCTAGGGGTAGAGACAAGACGATATACGCGATCGGATAGATGACCATGTATCCGATAACTCGACGGAGGCGCTTCAGGCTCTCCGTGTGGCTGTGTCCGAGAATCGCAGACTGTTTGATCCGACGACGCAATTGAAACCACATGACAGCGTACAGGCAGACGGTTCCGAACTCTGCTAGGAAAATCCAAAGATAGTGCGTCCACAGACGAATCGGCTCGTATTCCTCGTTAATCCAGCACTGCACACCTGGTTAGTGTCGGGGACCATTAGGAGCAGGAAGAGGAGTCATACCCAGGCACCCGATGGAATGAATACCGACCGCCCATATAGCCCAATTGGAATGATAACCAGAATGGCAACAAACACCCAGGTGCTGACGACACTGATAACGAACATCCGGTGGCTGATCTTGCGGCCCATGGTCACTAGGAAGAATGTGTGGATCGCGATAGCGAGCACAAACAATCCGCTGGACGGATCGCCGATCTGGAGCCAGAAGCCCTGGAGAAAGCAGGCTGCTGAGGAGGCTTCGATCTTGTTTGAAACGATCCATTTGAGACAGATGAGGAAAGCAAGTGATTGTTGCAAATCGGCCAGCACCAGATTATAGATAAGGATGATATATTGGTTGTAACCGATATAACGTCGATAGTTGCTGCGCCAGAATACCAATCGGAATGTAATGAACGATATCAGAACAAGGGTCGCAATAAAAGAAAGGATGGCCATGATGAAGACGGCAATCAGGCCATTGCGGTGCGCGCTGGGCAGAGGGTCGATATTCATGGTAGGACCCCCTTTGGTATATGCCACCCGGGGCAAGAGACTCTGACCCTCGTCATGGCGGGACCCTAACACACTCGACAGTTGATCGAGACTCATTGCTGGAGAGTCGCTGGTTGTTAAAGCCCTGGGGATGTCGCAATCATCATGTTCCTAGGCCTGTAGAAACAAAACTGCGACCAGATCCAGGACACTGGGAGAGGATAAGGGTGTGGAAAGGAGAGGGGGAACGAGAGACGCCTCCGGCTGGCTGGTGTTTCCCGCGGAAGTAGACTTTACAAGTACCTACAATGGACCCGCCCAGGCCACGACGATGGGCGCTCTCCAACGGTCCACTTCAGGGGGTGCGGCTCGTACTTCGTTCAGTCGCAGTGCAGTCGTCTAGATGGCAAAGGAGGGGAGAACAAGGGGAGACAAAGCACGCGAAAAAGCGTCGGAGAGGCGAGCCACAACGGTAATCTCAACCCAACTTAAATGAGATCGGGGTTGAACTACCCACATTCGATAGTGGGTGCGGTGGGGGAAGTCCTGAACTGGGCAAAGCTTTTGTCGAATTAGGCCGGGCTAGGTGGGCTAAATCAGCATATCAAGTCTAGCGATCCGACGGTCTCTGCCACAGCTAGGCCCCCGAGAAACGACCAATGGACTCACTGACTTTTACGAGGATCCACGGGAGAATGCAACGTCCTATAAAAAACCATCAGCCATCACTGGCAGGTCGCGCTCGATATATACGGGGAATCGTCTTGGCCAGCGAGATTGAAACATCGGTGACGAGCTGGAACATGAAGTAAAATGAACAGGGCCCCGAATCCCAAGCAAATTTAGGCTGTAGCGGTATTGGTCACCGTCCGGTGGGCACACTCACATGTTCGTGTACCGCTAGCGTACGGAGCAGGCTGCTTGAAATCGACAAGCATCCAGTTTGAGCAGCGGAGTCGCTAAACCGGTGTCTGCTCTGCTACCGAATGCAGTAGGGCACCTAGTGAGTAGATTGGCTCTCGAGATCGACCCCTGGTGGGTACGAGGACAAGGAGATCCAAGTATAGTGAGAAAACCTACGAGTCGTCGCATACATCGGACAAGGCTGTCCGCCACGGCCCCTTTTTGAGGCCCCTTCGTGAATGCTGGGCCGAACAGTGGCAAGGGGAGAGGAGAGGCATGAACGCCGCATCAACCCCGCAAGCACCCGAGCCTATCAAGGATCTCCTTAGCGATATGGACGACTGGGATAATCACAAAGGGAATGTGGATCTAGTTAGTATTGAGTTAGGGCGCCAACGCGCATTGAAGTCACTTGGCCATTCCAGAATTCGAGTTGCCCCATTAGGAGACCCACCACGTCGATCAGATGGACCGGCAAAAACACACCGGAGAACCTCCTGGCCCCGACAAGCACACTCGAGGAATTCCGGACGATATCCGTCCTGCGAATGATGATCTTCTCCTTTGGGTCGCTCCCGTGTCATTGGATCAATAAGCTTTCCACTTTATATTTTTTTCTTCATTTCTTCTCCTCCGCGGTGTCCGGACAACTGAGGGTGTGAATACAGACCGGGAGCTTTGGACGACAACCAGCCAGTGGATCCAATCTACCCATACACCCTGTCCATACTACACGGGCCTGGCGTACCGACGCCGTAATTATCACCCCCTTGTCCCTTGCCATTCCCGTATCCCCAATATGTGAGAAAGAGATAGGTCGCGGGGGAAGTCTAGAAGGAAAACACATGGCCGCCCTGTGTGACCACCTTATTGATCGTGTCATCCACACCAATGGAATCAACCATCCTTCTTTTTTTAATCGTATCTCGTCCAACATACCTCTATCTGAGACATTACACCTGCACTGATCCAATGGCGCAGGTGGGGCCGTCGGTGGAGAGGACAGTGATTCATTTAGTTTAGGCGTGTCCATTGGACTGCTCAACTCACGTCACTTTCCTTCCCTTGTAGGACTTGGGGTCCAGGGCAACGTGAGGTCCAAACGCACAAGGTAGGTGGCCTGAGACTATTGTCCACCGCTTCCATCCAGTGAAATGTGACTGACAGGGTCATGGAGTGAGATAGGAATGAGGGAGAGCAGTTGGTGTGGTGGTAACTGACTTACCATTGAATACCGCCTGTCCCGTTTTGGACCGCATCCCTGTCCCACTTAGATAGATGGACACACGATCTACAAAGTACGAGGTAGTATTCCGTAGCAGTCTCTACGCGGAGAGTTTTAGTTGAGTTTTAGTTATTGGGTCCTCCGTCGGTTTGAAGCCGATCGCTGTTTCAGAGAGAGAAGTTTTTACGATTATTCATCAGGAACCGAGTCCCAAGATAGACACGATGACACCACTTCAGATAAATTACAGACATCGTATTATTACCGCCATTCCTTCTCTGCTGAATTGGCTCTCCTCTCACTCATCAATATCGGACATCCTCGATGCTTCGTTTCTCCTACTACTCCGTAGTTCGTCAACACCTTCGTGTCCGCAATCTTCCTCTCCAATTCATGCACTGGTGGCGGCCCGGTTATTACCCTGAGTGGGGCTTCACATGTACATTCCTATTCTGGTCTATTCGTGCATAAATACGGGTACTAAAATTGGCCATTGTAGTCTGAATTGTACCAATACAAAGTGGGTTCTTAGCTTTTTGCTTGACTTCGACCATCCATCCACTAAAGAAGTGAACCAGCCAATCTCTGTGCCCCCGATGACTATCTCCATATCTCGCCCAGTACCCACATTCTTTGCCCGCGCCTCTTCCAAGCACGCGATATAATGCGGTGCGAGAGAAGAAGGAGCTGCCGTTGAGAGCGTCGCCCGTCAGGACACATACTCGTCGGGTTACTTGCCCTGGAGGGGATCTACCGACAAAGTTTCATATACAGGGAGTCCTCCATGTGGACTATGTACCGTCATGGGGATTTAGCTCTGCACGTCTATCACCCGCAGCATTCCCGTATCCCTGGGGTCCTGGGTGGCGCTCGTCTTTGTTGAAAAGTGACTTCAACCCGTCAGGTCAGATTCTACTTTTGGAAACTACCCCCCGCAGAGACTGAAGCCGTCGATGTATACCAACTGACTACCGGTGTTATCTGTGTGAGGCTGGCTCCTGCGACCGTCGATCATGGCTATATACCATCCTTCTATTGACCATCGTGTTCACTCATCCCAGTGATTCACGTGTAACTGCCCCCACTCGCTCGGTCGTGTGGACTTGATGTCTAATTGCAAAAATCTGATCAGGTTGACTGGACTGTAGACCTGGTCGTGTTGTTGTTCGAAACGGGCGAGAAGGAACGTCACTCCGCAGCTGACATATTCCTTTCTATTTTCAGAGTACTCCGTATAACCCCACCGATTCGATATGCCAACTTATTGATCCTAAACTGACTTTCTTCAATTCTTTAATCTGACTTCTTTGGGGAAACTCAGCCAGATCAAACTTTCCCCAGATTTGAGGCAATTCCGTCGGCTACCCCGATCGCCGGAACTACAGGACGTGTTGCCGTTTTGAGCCACCAATTCTATTTATCCAATAGTTCCAGGAACTTAACTTTAACCCGTCGTGTTTACCCGGACACCAATCTCATGCTTCCTCTGTTGGCGCACCGGGCTCCTCTCCTCCCTCGCTTCGCCTATAGCCTTGATCTCAATTTTTGACTAACTACTAGTGAGGTCACCGACTGCTAATTCCAACATCTAATGCGCAGTGATGCGTCGGCATATATTACCCTGATGTGGGGAGAATAAGCCTGCAAAGGCTGAACACCCGCAACCAGATCTTAGGCCCGGACTATCTCAGCATGCAGTGGGCTATCCAGCCGATCAGACCGAGTATACCGAGTTATGATTATTCCGCCAATCAGGATTCATGGATCAAGGAATATTTTCTCTTCGATAGCTGCCCATATCTGGCCAGGAACGTGTGGAGCACTTTGTTCTTCCCTGGCCCCCAATGCGTCTGGAATTACCGATCAGCGATGGTAATTTTTTATGGATCTGGCCTACGGACAGGAATTGGCTCAATAGCACTAACCAGAACTTTATATTATGGGTACTTTCCAGCAAAAAAAATGCCGCGATCATGTCACGGGCACCCTCAAAGGACTGTGAAAATTGTCATCAACACATGGAGTAGTCTTCCAGCACCACTAGCCTAATTGAAACCACCAATAGAATCTATCAGATCTCAATAAGTTGATAATTGGCTTTCTCGCTATAACTGCTGCTTACTCCAGACCCTCGTGGCCAAGAACTCGAGTTTCTCATGATCAATCTCAATGTTTCGTTCGTGGGGGATAGTCGGGGCTCTGAGGAAGAGCCTTTCGAGTTCCAGCACCAGCGGCGCTCCAGTGATGGTGACCTTATTGCCTCTTGTTCTTGTGATGACGACCTGTTGCTCTCGGCTACCATGGCCGTTTCCAGTGCCTTCTCATCTGTCGATGATGATTCTGGGCTCATTTTGAGCGACTCGGAGAGTCAGGACGGTCTTCACCTCCCCCTCGGGTCCCTTTAGCCAATAACGCACATCTGGCCGTAGTCTAAACTGTGTCTCACAGTACGCGGCTTCCAGTACAACAGTTGGCCGGTTGTCTGATCGGTCCCGGGGTAACTGGTTTAAGGCCACGCCCTATGAGATTCCTTTGCGCCGATAGTCGTGCAGTGAGTCGCAGAGCCCAAGAGATGAAGAAGGGCTTCGAAAGAGACTTGCTGCGTTTTCGTGTGCTTCTAAATTCGCGATATTGGTCCGGAGGAGCGTGAGCGTTCGGTCATACGCACGCCAACGTGAGAAGGGTGCTTCCTCTAGGAATCCGGCAGTAAATATCTTATCATCCAGAGCACTGACATGAAACAACTCGATGGTATTGTGGGCAGTGCGAACTACGTGGTTGGAATAACCTTTAAACTACCTCGGCCATGGTAGGGTAACGTAGGAATACAAAAGTAGTACTATCCAGGAAGCCACGACCGGGGTCTTTGATGATCCCAAAGTGCTTCCTCCTCGGTGGGCGGGCCACACCACACACGATTTGAAGATGCGAGCCGATGCTTCCGCACACTGATCGCAGGGCTTGGTCACCTTCACCCCGCACTCGTAAAGAAACGCTCCCTTAACAAGCTCCGTCTTGGTATAAGCCCTCTTCCCTGCCGCCCACTGCAAGGATCGAGCGGCTACCTGCAGCTGACCATGGACTCAGCGGCCTCTGACAAGGCAAAGGATGTTATCTCAATTGCCAGAGATGATGAGCACAAGCACGGCCGGGTTCTGTAAAAGCCTCGCCTCTGCTCTGGATGTTTGAAGCTCAGTTTTTCGAAGCATGGCTAGGTATAAAGTCACTGTTTACCACAGCCCAATTATATGTAGGAGAGCTGATGAGAACATTCAAAACGATAATAAAATCAATGACTACTAAAAGTCGCAAATAGTTGCAAGATTGCAAAAATCACGTAGAGTCAAACAGCAATTTATGTGGGAAAACAACGCAGGTTAGCTGATGTTGGCCGGTTGCATGTCTTGCAACAATATATAGTTCTAGGAAAACTGTGATCCTACCACTTGTGAACTAGTTCTTTCTAATCAGGAAAAATACAGCCGTTTATGGTATTATTAGCAGTCACTGTTAGGGTCAATTTCACAGGTCCCCATATTGTAGCTATAAAATTGGGCAGTGAATGCATTCGACCAAGTAGTTTGTCACTGCCACCTGACTGTGAAACAGAGTCTAATTCTCCCTTTATAAGCTCTCTAGCCTGAATTTTTGTTATCGACACATCTATGACTGTCATCCTTTTAATGGACGTCATCAACCCTACTGATGTACCTACACAGGTCGTACGGTGCGACTACCAAGGTTGTCGATAATAATGCTAGCTTGTCTCTTGAGATCGTGTTTTCCAATCTGCTAATTTTCTGACAGTTGAGCCTTTTATAAAACAACCCGACACCTGACCATTGCGGTAAACACGGTTAGAAAATGAAGACGACGCATGGTAGCTCTCTATAAATCGAATCAAGAAATATTTAACCACAGGGAGATATATTTAAGCGTGACTATCTTGAACCATCGATTGATTACTACTTGTTACCAGTCTATCATAGCCTATAAATTTCAGGCACTTGCTGAACAGGATCATCTATTCACAATGTCATACATGCTTATTGCCGTTGTCCAAGCCGTGAAACGCCTATCGACCTAAGGTCCTGTTGCAACAGGCCTCCAGTACTCCAGAAAAGACTTGGCCGCGCAAGAACCCGTTGCCGCAGCATATGCTTGCCATGTATTGTTCTTGTGGCTATCCGCATAGTCACACACTCCTTTGATAATGATACATGGGAAAATGTCCCATACACCGGCCCCTATCGTTTCAAAACCAATCACTCGTTCTGAGGACACTAAGCGGTCACGATGCTCTCCAGATCTCATCTCCGTATCAGCAGATGCAATTGCGCCGATATGGATAGACATGCTATCCAGCTCTGTGTGGTGTCGACGACGACTGATTTCATTGTCATCACAGCCAAGGTCGGCGCAGATTTTGCTCATTGCACCTTCGCATATGCCATGCCCCCCGTTTCCACTAACATGGGGACATTTGGCAGATATCAGCTTATGATGCTTATGATGATAGGAGGCGTTGAAGACAATGTCATCAGTAAAGCAAGGGCGTCGCCACTTTTCATTGCGCTGTTGGATCTTGTGTAGGTGCTGCGATATCTGGTCCTGAAACTCTCGACGACCACCAATTGCTCTAAGCCCTGCAAGAAGATTTCGAATTTCTCGACTGGGCCTACCAGGAACAAGGTTGATATCAGTCGCACGCTGGAAACCTCCTGGAAGCTGTACACCGGAGTCATATTCAACCACCGCATCACTCATAACAACATCGCCCAGGAAGATCTGCTCATTGCTAGGCGATCGTGGTGCTCCTCCACAGATACCAACAACCAGGCCGATTCCAATGTTGGGGTAACTAAACGGAAGGCTGGTAGCCACACTCGCGGCGGTCCGCTTTGCCTTGTCTGGCAGGTAAGCCAGGACGACGTTATGCGCTCCGATCCTTCCATTGATGTATGCATTTCTGTCTTTGGGGTGCTTGCCATAGACTTTGCTCAAACGATCAAAAACTTCATCGAAGGTCTCTTCGATAGCCTCGGCTTCCAATGTCAGTGCGCAAATAATAGCGACCGTGAAATCGGTACGGCTGTTCGGGCGCATTGTAAGGTAGAAAATTTGGGCTTTTTGAAATTTATTCGAGTCAGTCAAAAAAGTCACAATGTACTGGATGGTTCAAGATTCACGAAAACCAAGAAGTAGACACAAATTAGCAACTGAGCTTCTTAAGCACAGCCCAGTTGAATCCCCCACACACCCATTGCTGATGCACTACCAATTGAAGTGCCAGATTAGCCGCTTGGGGATAGCCTCGTCTTCGTTTCACCAGGCGCCAGATCACTATGATAGCCAACGACATACCAATCGCTATTGCAAGGGATCAGAAGGATGGGAGGTTAACATTGACATGTAACGAATTTTATAGGCCAGTCAACTCTGTTGGTCTAATGAGCGTCGTTTCTGACATATGACGCTTGATCAAAACGACTTGAACAAATCATCTATCTCCACCTAACTTCTGATTTTCTCTTGGATGGTCTGAACCTCTCATTAGCATAGTCATTACACTACGACATAAATGAACTTCATTATTGCAATCAATCTATCGCGCATGCATAAATCCACCACGGCTTTGCCAAGCTGAAGCAGTCCGCTAATTGTCCGTCTTCCAATTCCGCTGGGAGAGCTATATGTACAGCATGGTTCCTGCTTCCTTCATCCTTCTCCGGACGTTTTTTACTCAACGAGCAACGGGGAAAAGCACACAGGTTGAACGCATCTCAGTTGCCTTTGAGTCGTGATAGTTTGTGTAAAAACTCGTTGAGGCCTTGATTTTGGGCAATCTTTTCTAAGTTCCATGGATCATGAACTTTATGTCTCAGTGGACGAATACGATCTGCACCTGTCAATTTTGTTTTCCCTGCTCCCTCCTCCACCTTGAAACCCACACGGCTTGACACTGTGGAGAATTGTCGTGAGGTTTAACGATAATGTGGGAAATATTGTCTGGATTGGATGTCTCCACTTGCTGGCAATACCGGGGGAGCAAAGGTGCGGGGTAAGGTTGCACTGTTTACTTGCTCCGCTGGTTCACAACGCCATGATTGCCCTGGTACGCGCCTGTTCAGCTTACTCTTTTCCGTTGATTTACTGATATATGTGGAGGACTCTACTGTAGGCAAAGTGATAAGTCTGACCACCACGGCAATGACACCTCTGATTTGAAGTGTGGATGGACTTCGTGCTGTCACGTTTCTCAGTATGGGAGGGACAGAGCCAACGGTGAGTATAACAGACATCTGCCGATCTCCACGGCAGACCGAGAAATCTTGTCGAGTGTCAGCATACTTACACCAGCAACTAACAACAAGTTAGCCGGCTTCCACACCGTCTCCGATTAGGAAATGGGGAAGAAGCGAGGCGAGTCAAGCACAAGCTTTGAACTCAAGAGTCAATCAGGGGCTTGAGGAATACAGTGGCGTGGGGTGACCCTCAATGCTCAGAATGTAACATCATGATGCCATAAACTCCAGCGCGACCAGTCAGCGTGTAGTATGGGGACGTTATACAATCTGAGGTTGCAACGGTCAGTTATCGGGAATTTTCAGGGCTCGATCTCCGTAGCGTGACCGGGGGGCGCAGGAACCCGCCAATATATCCGAGGTGGACTAGTACCGATGTTGGCACCACCGTCACCTTCCACAAACCTGTCGATGATCTCGCCCTGTCGCATACTTGATGTTTCTTGGAACATTCCGTTAATTCCATGCGCTCAATTTGCGACTGATCGGCATGCCAACCGTGATGAATAGTATGCATTCATGTGGTCCGGGCGGACTCCGAAGACTATATAAGGGTCTGCAGTGATCTCTGCGGCCAGCACCTTCAAGATCTCAACCACCAAGTCCGACAAGGTTTCAATCATACCATTGTCAAGATGCTCAGAACTCTCGTTGGCCTCAGTGCCGTGCTGCCCGCTGTGTTGGCCTCGCCCTATCAACACCAGAAACGGGCTGACATCGATGCGTTCATCGAGAAGGAAAACCCAATTGCTCGACAGGGAATCCTGAACAACATTGGCGCCGATGGGAAGCTTGTTCCTGGCGCTGGTGCGGGCATTGTTGTTGCGTCGCCTTCTGAGGAGTGTATGCATTCTAACCAGAGTTCCTTCTGACTGGCACTGGCTAACCTATTTTATCTAGACCTTTACACCTGGACCCGTGATGCGGCTTTAACCTTCCTCGACTTGATTCACGAGTTCATCGAGGGCGATAAGGATCTTGAGCCGCTCATCCAGCAGTACATCACCGGGCAGGCGAAGCTTCAAACTGTGGCCAACCCCTCCGGATCCTTGGAGGATGGCGCTGGACTGGCTGAACCCAAGTTCAACATCGATTCAACTGCATTCGAGGAAGAATGGGGGCGACCTCAGCGTGACGGGCCGGCTTTACGTGCGCAGGCCCTGATTGCGTACGGAAACTCCATTCTCGAGGACAAGAAGGAGAAGGTGGTACAGAACATCTGGCCTCTCGTTTCGAACGATTTGTCCTACGTCGGCCAGTACTGGAACGGAGAGGGTTTTGATCTGTGGGAGGAAGTCAACGCCACCTCTGTGTTCACCATCTCGGTGCAGCATAAGGCCCTCGTCGAAGGCGCTGCCTTCGCTAAGGCCCTTGGCAAAGAGTGCGCTGGCTGCAAGGTCGCTCCCCAGATCCTTTGCCGTCTTCAGGAGTTCTGGGATGGCAAGCAGATCATCTCGAACCAGCCCAGCAACGGCCGCGGCGGCTTGGACCTCGCCTCCATACTGACCTCTCTGAACGCCTTCGACTCTGGCGCGAAGACCTGCGACGACGAGACCCTGCAGCCCTGCTCTGCCCGAGCGCTCGCCAACCACAAGGCGGTCGTCGACTCTTTCCGCGATACCTACGGAATCAACGGTGATCGCAAGGCCGGCAAGGGCGCCGCCGTCGGTCGCTACAAGGAGGACACCTACCAGGGCGGCAACCCCTGGTACCTCGGCACCACTGCCGCCGCCGAGCTCCTTTACGACGCTCTCTACCAGTGGGACAAGCAGGGCACCTTGGAGGTCACCGATCTGTCGCTCCCATTTTTCAACGACGTCGCACCCGACGCGGCCGTCGGAAAGTTCGAGAAGGGCTCCGACGAGTACAAGACCATCACCGAGGCTATCAAGGCCTACGCTGATGACTTCATCGCCGTCGTCCAGGAGTACACCCCTGAGAATGGAGGCCTGAACGAGCAGTATGGCCGCGACGACGGCCAGCCTACCTCTGTTGAGAACCTCACCTGGTCTTTCGCTGCGTTCCGCTCTGCTGTTGCCCGACGTGCTGGTAACGTCCCCCCCGCTTGGGGCAGCGATTCTTCCGCTTCTGTTCCGAGCGAGTGTTCTGGTGACACTGTCCCGGGCGAGTATGCTGAGCCTAAGCCTGGTGACTGGTAAATGTTTGTGAACGTGGACAAGAGATGTCTCTTGCTTTGCGTGGGTTGTTATGTTGAACCCCTGCAGTGTATAGTTCTTACAGTGGATAGTGACTTATCCAGCCTGTCTCTTGAATTTAGATTTGGAATATGAGTCGATCTTTACGTTCATGATTGTTCCACACAGTAAGCTGTATCGATGTAGGAGGTCACCCATTATGGCTCTTAGGCATAGACTTGACTTCAGCGTCTTTTGCTGTCCTCATCGCAGAAAGCAGTTGTTCGGCCCTCCTTTTGTGAGCAATCTAATGCGAGAGTGTTGGTTGAGCAAAGGCCATATTTAGTCTGCTCAGATCCGTCAATCGCGACTTACCCAACGGTCTACATATACTACAAGAATTTTTTAATAAAGCTGTGTATATTTCTTTCCTTCAAAGTAGTCAGACAAAACATTGAACGCCCACTACCTTTGCAGCCATACCAGCTAAGCCCACTTCACCATCCTCTCTCCACCCCCTACGGCTTCGACACATAGTTTACCGTAAGCTGTCCCTTCTTCACAGTGTTCCTAACAGAGACAAACAGTCAGTATCATCCATTAAAACCCACCACACCACTAAAATACATACTCCTTTCCAGTAGGCACACTTCCACACGCCGTACACCCATGATTAATCAACTTCTGCACCAACCGCTTGGCGTCGGCCCCGCTGCCGCCACTGCCAGTAGACTGAAAGAAGGCGCAGATGCCAGTGCCGAGCTTGTTCTCCTCGCAGGCAATATGGTCGCCGTTGTTGTAGTGCTTGTTGTCGTCGATGCCGTCGATCTTGTTCTTGATATGCGAGAGCCGCGTCCCGGAGCCGCCGATGGAGCCGGACCCGGCGCAGCCGCCGCTGCCGCGGCAATTTATTCCTAGGGCTGTTGAGGTAGATGAGAGGGTGAGGACTGTGGGGATGAGGATGGTGGAGAGCTTCATGATGATGGCTGGGGGTGTGGTTGGACTGGAGGTGCGAGTGTGTGTTGTTTTGGAGATGGGATGCTGGTAATGGGGAGACTTGGGGGATAGCTGTTTTATTTATGTCTCAATGGAGGAAGAAAGAGATCACACGGTGGCGAGGGCCTCTACCAGCACGCCTCGATTTGAATACTATGTGGTATGCAGGACATTGGTTCTCTTCCATCGTATCTGAGAAGGCTGTGTATACAGCTCACATTGGCCCTTGCATATCAATCTGGAATGCAAGTCGGGGCTGATTTGCACTACAGCCCCATTCATTATACTTCATGTAATGTTGAGTCAAAGCATCTCTTAGGCCGTTCGGTTGATTCTCTCATAGGGGTCTGTAGAAAGGCCTTTTTTATCAAGCGCCCCGTGTAACTAGATCTGTTTCTGAACCCACTTCATAAGCGCGACATATCTCCTCAGTCTCAGTTCATATTTGAAGCATTAGGCCACGTACCTGGCAATATCTGAAGACCGCTACGCCAAAAAGTTGACTAACAATTGGTATAAGGCATGATCTAATTGATATACCCAACAAGATATGCTCGCGGTGAGAACACACAGGTATACACCGTAAGCAGCCCAACTTCGCACGACGCTGTCGCATGGGCTGGCCTCCACGGCATCGCCTAACTTTTCTTATTGCATTATGTGCATGCATGCACATACAAACCAATTTAATAGAAGCCTCGTCTGAGCTAAGTCGGCGCTGAGCCGCAGCCCCTTGCCTGTTGCAGGTGGCTTAGAAGTCTTCTCTGTCGTACAACCGGTTTGATCGATTTAATGATCGAAGCTGCGAAACCAAGCATCTCATCTTTGATAAACGGCTATGTTCCATTAATAGCGAGTAAAATTGGTCTCCGGAATGTGGGCGCAATTAATTCACTCAGCCCTCGGCTAAATGCTTGTCTTGATGCCCCTTGCAGCATTCTTTCTTTTTGTGGACGATGCAGTTAGCCCATGTTTGTCTGTTGTTTTGGATACACTTTGAGTGATTGTAGTTCAAATGCCGGAGTAAGGGTCGAGGCTAGATCCTGACACCGTATGTACGTGCGTTAAGCAATTAGGGTGCAGGGCCAAAAGACTTGCTGTGCTAGATAACTGAAGCATACAGTGACCCGCCGGTAGATGTGGCATTATGCGCAGTGATAATTGGAGAGGAAGGTAATAAGATTGATGGTATTGGGAGAATGCAGGGCCGCTAGAAATGAACTCGAAAGATAAACAAATAGATAGTATAATATGATGAATATCCAGGTAATGAAGCGACCAAACAGACCAAGCACCGGCATTGTTCGCTCTCCCTAATCCAATAACAATCACGTATACTTCAGCAATAATGCAATGGCAGCCTTATCACCCAGGTCCTTCGCGTATCGGATTGGCATCTTACGATAGGCGTCCTCCGCCTTCACGTTAGCACCTGCATCCAGCAGTGACATCGTTATGGTGAGATTCCCCGTCATAGCAGCCCAATGCAATGGCGTCCTGCCCTGATCATCCTCAGTTTCCAGACTCGCCTTTCTAGCAAGCAATTTGGCAACAACCAGGCGACATTTGTTGATGACAGCCCAGTGTAGAGGCGTTCTGCCTTGGTCGTCACACTGTCCGATGTTGGCTCCCTGGGTGATCAACAAGCAGGCGATGACCTCCTGTTGGCTCAGAAAGGCGTGCCATAACGGTGTCAGGTTATCGCTATCCCTGCCTTCCAGATTGGCACCGTGGGAGAGTAATCGCTTGACGGCTTGCTCGCGGCCCCCGATGACAGCGAGATGGAGCAGGGTTCGTCCTTTTTTGTCCCGGCGCTCGATGTTTGCTCCTTTAGACACCAGCAAAGCAATATTGTTTCCATTCCCCCTCAGGAAAGCGTGCCATAGGGGGGTCATGTTATCTTTATCTGTTGCTTCCACGTCGGCACCGTGGTGAAGTAGTAACCGGACGGCTGTCTCGAGGCCCATTATCGCAGCCTGGTGTAGCAGGGTTTTGTGTCCATCTTTGCTCTCAATGTCCGCCCCGTAGGAGAGCAGCAATGAAGTTATGGCCTCGTTCCCGTGGAAAACAGCCAGCCAAAGGGCCGCAGTACCCGGGGGTCTCTCCGGTTTGACATTACAGCTGTGGGCAAGTAGAAGTTGGACCACTGGCGCATGGCCCTTGGCTATGGCCTCATGGAGTACATTGAGTCCATGGCGACCAATACTGACAATCATGGCCCCACGCGAGAGTAACAATTGAGTGATAGCTTCGTCACCAGTGTCAGCCGCAAGGCAGATTGGTGTGCGACCGCGGCTATCCATCGCTTCAATATTTGCGCCATTGTCGAGCAACAGCTTAGCTATCGATACATGACTGTTGATCACTGACCAGTGGAGCATGGTTCTCTGCTCTTCATCTCGCCACTCGAGGTTACTATGCACGTGTGGAAGGAGCAGGCGAACGATATCCTCATGACCATACAAGGCTGCTAGCCATGTTGCTGATCGGTCAAAAGCTTTCTTGCCACTTGTATGTGCTTCGGCTCCATAGGCAAGGAGAAGACGCACAACCGCTTCGTGTCCATTTGCAGCTGCGTATATCAAAGGCGTGTGGTTGGCTGCGTCTCGCACGTTGGGTCCAAGATTTATCCTGGTCAGAAAGACCCTCACTGCGGCCACATGCCCAGCTTCTGATGCGTGACATAGCACTGTGCGCCCAGATCCGTCTTTCATGGAATCTGGAGACACACCCTGCGCCAGTAGCATGTTGATTATCTTTGGACTTCCTTGCTTTGCGGCATATAACAAAGGGGTGAAGTCGGAATTGTCCCTGTCGTTTACCAGGATATCGCCGCGAGTAATCAATAGCCAAACAACGTGTTCATGACCGCCTTCTATCGCGTAAGACAAGGGGGTGCGCCCTACTTTGTCCTTCAAGTTCACCTTGACTTTGTGACGAGCTAGTAATAACAAGGATACAACATCAGTGTGCCCTTTCTCTGCGACATGTGACAGTAGGGTCCGCCCATGCTGGTCTTGTAAATTGACATTAGTCTCCCGCCTCGACAATAATGATTGGGTCACTTTCATGGTCTCTGTTGTTTCAGCGTGGTAGACTAAATTCAACTCTTGGAGGTGAATATCTAGGGTCTTTTTATCGGTAGACGGTCGTTTGTCCCACTCGTCGGCTGCCGTTCGCAGCCACTCGTCAAACCACTCTAGCCCATAGTCTGGGAGGCTCTCTGGACGGGTATTATTCTCGTGAAGACGCTTGACTGGAGTTCCTGTGCGCCGGCTTGTCACAGCTAGCCGTCGCTGTTGAATGCAGATCTGCCGGAAAGGAAACTGAAAGGGCACAAAAAATGACAAGTCAAGAAGCTCTAACTTATGGTATCGAATTCGTTCAAATCGCTCCATGGTCAGAGACTGGTCTTGTAGGTATATCGCAAAGAAAAGATTTTCGTTGTCGCGTGGCGTGCAGGGCAGTATTCCAAAGCCCAGACCTCCATGACCAATCCCCACAAAAGGTAGTTCTAAATGAATACCTTTGTTCGTCGTTGTCCAAGCAGTCTTACTCATAACCCGCGGGTCCTGCGTCAGAATAATATCCCCCGAATCAGAAAACGCATCGACAGAGGGTGCGAGTAGCCCTCCGTGGCCTGGACTCTTCGCCTTCCAGGCAAAGATGCTGTGATCGTCAGACATTCTTATAATTTCTTCCTGGAGCCTGATAAACGCCGCCTTTCCCTCGCCATACAGCAGCGGCATGTTGATGCCGAACAGGCCCATGAGACAGTATGCTTCGTCTTCCAGCCGTGATGTCTTGCGGTTTGCTGCCCACGACATCCGCTGTGCAACACTTGCGTTGTCCACGCGGTCTGCGTCGGACAGGATTTCGACGGGGATATTGGTGCGCTTGGATATAATGTCTTGTAGAGTTTCCTTGGTTCCAAGCTCGCTCCACGTCCGACTGTAGAAAATCACAGTAGCCGGAGCGATGAGCTCCTGCAGGGTGAAGCCCCTCTCAAACCACCTGCTCGCGGAGATCTCAGTCGGTGTTTCGACATCTGCTAGGTAAGTGTAGCAGACGGATGCCTCTTGATACCAGCGGTACATTGAATTGATTGACTCAGACAGCTCTGTGCTGCTCGTCTTGTCAATGCAGCATGTGTCTATCCAGACGTAGTCCAGTCCTTGGGCTCTTGCCACAGAGCAGCAATCTTGTATCTTTTGATAGCCTTTCTTGTTGACTACGTCGGCACTATGCATGTCTTGGAAAGTTACCTCGTCGTCCTCCCATGTATGAGAAAGGATGGCGTATGGAGGGATGTCTTCATCTTTGAATTGATGGATGGTAAAAGGGCCAGCCAGGTTCTTATGCGTATTGACGAGGCGCATAGCGACAACTATTATCGAATTTGTCGCAATATCAAAGAAAGCGTGGAATCGGTGAAGGGCAAGGCAACGCAAACGACCCCACGATACAGAGGTGTCGGCTGGAATCCGCTGAAACAACTATCGTCATTCCACCAAATAGATCACAGATGGAAGGATGGGGATAGGAAGCAGCAGACTAACTGAAGCTTTCCTGGTCATAGTTATAATGACAGGCGAGTGGGGGACGTTTTCTTGGGGTGAGGCACAAGGCTGAGTATCATGGTGAGGCTGTGCAGATCCACAGCCTCGCAACTTTCATACCACTTGGCAAGATCTTCTGCGTGGTCAAGTATCCAAATGTTGAGTTTGACAACAGTAATTCAAAGGAGATATTTGAAATTTAAGTAACGAATTCAGTCGGAAATTCGCCGATTATGCATTCATCAGAAAGTTGTACATTATTGGGGGCACTTTGAGGCAGATTCTCGGAAGGCTGGCCTATTCTAAGGCGATATATTTTTATTGTGTGAGAGAGGGAGAATGGGACATACCCCTCGCGTGGTGCACCCTTGAAATCGGCCCCCTGTTTTCCATACTCTGCGTCCACCCTGGGGAATGTCAATTTTATAATTCGATCACCCCAGAATTGTGTGGTTTTAAGAAAGAATATATCCAGGGTAGAGCAGTTCATTCAACTAGGAAGGAATCCTAGAATTTATATAATTCGAGATAATATGATCTAGATCTAGGCTTATCAAACGCCAAGTGAATGTTGATTTTCGCAATATATCTTCCACAATCAGCTGGTATTATTGATATATGCCTTATAATTGCATACATTCAGTAGACCGTGGCATTTTAGATCTTAGAAACACTTCCTAGATCCATTATATATCTGTTGGGTACGTGGGAGCATGGATGTCAATGCTCTGGTGATTTACCACCTCGGACGATCTCGGTGGGGCCGGAATGTATGAAGTGTGGTTGAACGAAAATACGATTCCTCGGCGACTGTTCGATTGGCAGAGTTTAGACATGTATGGAGGGTTTGTATAGTGGAGTATACGGTTATCAACCAGCCATAACCTTTGAACAACCGCCGAGTTCAAGACCGGGCCGTATTGGTGGGAAGGAAGAAAAGTGGACCGTTGGCACAGGTCAAACGTATTAGGTGAGACATTTTCTGTTGTACGGAGGACGATCGAACCTGATCAGACTATATAATTCGGTCACAACCCCCTGTGTGATTGGATCTGTTCCTTCACCATTTCCACGCCCATTGACTCGGTGAACTACACACTCTTACATGAGCTATTCTGCTTCACACCACTCATGACCCACTCTAGTCTCAATACTAGATGAATATAGTAAGTCATGTATATTCTTGCCATCAACATACATTGAGCTAAAATGTTAGTTGTGTTTAGCATATTCCTGGTGTTGCAGCGTCATTTATAGCGACATGAAGACTGAAGACCCGGAAAACGCCGACTCTTCTCATACCACTAGGATCAGCTTTAAAAGGCAATTATTGGAGAAATGTGTGGTTACTATGGTGGCCGTGTACCTTGCTGGGGAATTCATCTACTATACATTGGGCGATTTAGTTCCAGGCAGGGCCAATAACCATCCTATCCTCAGATTCCTAATATTGTTCTCGGCTCAATGGCTATTCGATTACCTATACAGAAGATATAGAGGCGTGTAGATACTTATAATCAAACTTTAGAATATGTGAGCGACGACGATAAAAGCCAGCTTGAAGCTAGGTGCTACTGGATTGGGCCCATACTGTGGCTGGAGTATGTCTTCATCGACTACTGGAGATCTTGATAAAATCATTATGGACTGCGGCTTATGGAATATGCCAACGAAAAGCAAGATCCAGTAGGATAGGATGGATTGTTTATACATCCTTGGATCTCTTCAACTAGAACCTCTTAGCCCCCATGCGACTCTACGCATTTCGTACCATCCTCGTTTGCGTTTTCGCAGTTGTAATCCTTCTGACTGTTGAATGCCGTCATCTCGATGTTCCCATTCTCGGCGTGACCCTCAGCATCGGCGCCGTAACATTTCACAAAGAAGCTTAGGAACCGAGGGCAATAGTGCTTGACTTCAAGCAAGGTCAAGCTAGAGCTGGCAAAATTGAACATCGACATGATTGTCTTGCAAGAGTCCAATGGATGGCCGGTACCCGCTTCAACGCATATCTTGCTCTCAACAACTGCAATGATGCTCATCACACCAGTACCTGTAACAATACTTATAGAATTTCATGCATGTTCGATCTGGTTCTTGCATTCGCTGTTGACTGGGGGTACTGGAACCGTGGGTCGACGTGGTGAAGATATCAAAAACCGTTTTATTGAAGATACCCAACTCGGACAACAAGAAATCGGTTCCATCGTGGGCATTATGGCTGTCAGTAGTAAAGAAAAGACAGAATCTTAGTTGTTGTTTAAAAACTTCTGAGCGTGCTGCTCAATCTTGCTTTTAACGTCCGCCGAGGGCATTAGACCATAGTGGTTCACGGCGCTTGCTGTAGAGATACAGAGACAGACATGGGCCGTAAAATGCATTATAGGCGTTATTTTGAAGGTGTATAATGCTCGTCGCAAATAACAGACCTAAGTTTATGTGACAGACTTTTCAATAAAGAAGCAAGAATCCGTGGAAACAGTCTCTGGGAAGAATGAGGATGGAAATGCACAGCAGAAAAGAGCTTGCTTCTCTGGCATCGTCACTGTTAAAGTACATTCTCAAGAGGTCCTCGAGATAGTGAGAAATGCTCATTCCCCTCCATCCCCTCGCGCAGACACGGATCGCCTGATTTGTGGTGATTGATGACTGAAATGTCTGGCTGTCCCATTTCTGGCCCCCATGCTGTACATGCATTGCATTGGCGCGTTGGAGCGATGGGAATTATGATAGGAAGATAGACCAAAAATGATGGGTCAAGTATCCCTGCACGTACTCCATACTTCATACGAACATGGAATATGGGTGCGCTCGCTTTGATTTCCTAGTGAGTATTGGGCCTAATGTTGTTCGACAAATCATCCAGACTTCTTGGACATTAAAGTGAGTCTGATAGGCAGTGGAGACAGTAGGCTGAGAAGCAGTTGTTCTTTATCCTCCCATTGCAGGAGGAGTTGTGACTGCACAGCACGCGTAATTAGACCCGATTTTAATAGGATAGTTGTTGTGTGAGATGAAGAAACGAAATGTTTTACGCGGGGGTGTATCTTTTGTGGTCCACCTGCTATCTAGTCACTGGCAGGATTAGCCGCTGGAAGATTTAGCGCTCAACTATCACTACATACAAATCAGAGGTCCTAGTCAGAGAGAGAGAGAGAGAGAGAGAGAGTAGACATAACATGAGATTTAATTATAGCCGCTACGCCAAAACTTTGACCGATGTTTGAGATAGGGCTTAACCCGACTGATATCTCCAACAGTCAATGGGAATACCACTGGAATAGTGTGATCTTATAGTATCTAGTTATACAATATATAACAACTATATGGTCACTCTGTCACAGTTGCTTGGTAGGTCTATACACAGAGGGAGAGCAGTTTATAGAATTCAAAATCTAGATGAGGATCAATGGAGCTGGTAAAAGAGTAAAAAAGAGTACGCAGGCATGGCATAAAAAGAAGTTTAGAGATCCATACCATCTGGACGTTTCCTCGTACCTTTTATGTCATAGCTTCTACGCTTTTAGGTATACAGTGTCTGTTATAAGCTCTTAGTGTAGCAGTGAAGGCAAATATTATAACAATACTACTATGACTTAGAGTAACTACGTCAAGAAATCTACAAGAATCTAATCTATTTTTATCAGCTACCATAAGATTAAAAACCTCTAGTCTTTGCATTTGCATTACAGCACGGAAAGAAAGCTGACAAGATTAACCCATACCACGACTTGCCCATGACGCCAAATTATTGAAGGCCCTTTAATATTGATTATTATGGTCGACAAGGGTGTGGATCCCGAATACGGTTGCACCACAGTGTGCACGTTATCAGGCCCGTTGACCTCAGTCCGAGTATGGGTATACCAGACGTCTCACTCTGTGCATGAAAATATAATATGCATTCCCTGCAAGTCTTGCTTCATCAGCACAGGAAACGGCTGGGTATATCTACTCTGAAAGTAGAAGTGCAGGGCTCTGATCTCGTCGCGTTGAATTGCACTGTTTGAACCTGGAATCGGTCCATTTCTAGCTCTTATCATGTCCCAATACCATCACATGGTATCCCATATTCTCATACTATTAAGTCATTGTAAGCTAATACGGCTATTTCAGTCACTCACGAAACTAAGATTATGTATATTTCTGGTCTAGATCATGAGAAAGATAACATTATGATTATTTGGATGATCATGTGATTATATTTCGACGAGTACTAGTCAGGATCAAGAACGGGGATTACGAAAGCCTGCTCCATAGCTCTGTCTATCCTCCCTCACCAAAAGCGTACCTGCATGGCACCTGTGATGCGTACCTTCACATTGGCATGTGTATATTTGCTTGTACAATCTCCAGTACTGCTTAGGAATGACCCCAGGGAAGATCCAAGAATTGATCCACGGTATGCCGAGAGGCTGGCAAAAAGTTTACCCGATGGAATGGGGTCCCTCTGGGCTTTAGTGAGATGCTGCCAGCGTTGTATTTCGGAGGACAAGCCATGCCGGTGTCCGCTCTGTGGACAGATGCTCCATAATACGGACAGATTGGGAAGATTGCCCGCATAGGTTTGCTTTTGGTACTTTTGTTATATAACTGCTGTTCTATACTTGCTCCCTCATAATGTCAATTATGGAGACCATCATCATTTAACGGTCTGGGCTGCTACCGTACGTACACTGATGTCAGAAGGTATTCTTTGTAGGTGATAGGTAGTCACATTGCAGAAATTACGCTCTAGAAACTTCACATATACTGCTGAATGCCTTAGTAAACATATCCACAGAAAAGAAGGACATACACAAATAGGATTTGGATACCAGTCTTCCCACAGATTTGGTTACAAGTACAAGGAGACAAAAACATTCGGCTTTTCGAAAGTTGCGGGCTACAGCGGTTCTTACCCGCGAGAGTATCTCAACAACCACCAATACATACATGCACCTAGTACTTCACTCAAGCAGCCAAGTTCCCATTCTCCTTAATCCATGCTTCTGACCCCCGGGGCTCCGACATTATACCATCTCAGTGTCTATTAGCATAGGGCCCCTAGGTGCACTAGAACCCAACTCCAGTTCCCTAATGCTCAGATCCAAACCACCCGAAGCAAAGATACGCATGAAAATCTCTTCCAGACAGCCGAAGTACCTTACCGCTTTGTCCTTAGGGAAAAGGCTGCAGTCGATGGTCATAATAAGATCCACCCCAGAATTACCAGGCCGGAGGCAGAAATTCAGGAACATGGTGTCTACCAACCGCTGGACCGCTTCAACGCGATTTCTCAGCAGTCCCAGGTGCGTGCTGGCTGTCTCCTCGTAGTCATCGGGAGGATGGACAACGACAACGGGGGCAGATGCCAACTGTCGGTGCAGCTTATCGCCAAGTCGGACTAAGTGCTGCACACTCCCCGCTTTGTCTATTCCCTTCTTCACAAAATCCATATTCTTCCGGAATGTTGAGCCACGGTCGATGCTGGTGGCCAAAGGTGCTGTAGTGCTTACGGGCCCCATGAGTCGGTCTATTCCGGTGAATGCGGCATCTCGGCCACCGAGCAGAAGATTGAACAGGAAATGGTCATGCTCTTCAACATGCGCTGCCGCTATTGCCCAGGCTGTGAGCATCATCGTTGGGTAGGATAGTTCGGCTGGGAGAGCTCCTGGGAAGTCGATGCCGAGGGACAAAGTGTGAGTGATACCCGGGTCACGTGTGTCGTCAAACGTGAAATAACTGTAGAATCTTGTGTCCTCGAGTTTCTTCAAAAACGCAGAACTAGCTTCGTGTGTCTCCAGTTCATATACGTACTGGATAAATCTGTTGTACTGCGGCCGTCGGGGCGGGTTCTTGTTGTGATGATATGCGTAATCGATCTCTTCCAATAGTAGCTTCCGACACCAGCCATCGAACAGAACGTGGGCGCTGGACCAGACGAGCCATCGATCCTCAGACCGCCCACCGTCTACTATGCTGAATCGTGATAGAGGCTGTCCGAGACCCCACGATACGGTGCGATCTTCAGAGATGAGCGAAGATAGGGCATCGACGTGACGACAAACAAAGTCTTCTTTTAGCACAACCTGAACTAACTGTGATAGGACAGGGACAATTCGAGTCCGCAGAAGTTGGTTGGCCTGCACAACGCGGCGCAAAGCAGTCTCCAGTCTGACGAGGTCTATATGGGGCGGTAGTTGCATAATGTGCCGGTGAGTAGTACCTCCTGGCGAGAGGATCTCCCCTTCCGTGTAACACTGCTGCTGTCTCGTCAGAGGATATGCATCGTCAACATCTTCCTCTTCGATGTTGTGAGCCAAAAGGCTTTTCTTCAGTTGGTGAATGCTGCGATCAACTTTCCGCAGTAGTCCAAACCTGGATGGACCCGATATTCTTTCCTCCTTCAGAGGGACCATCTGAGTAGCCATGGCAGATAATACCGGATTGTGAAATATGGTTTGCGTTGAGAGATCTTGACCGAGATCTCGTGCAGCAGATGCTAGCTTGATTGCTGCCAACGAACTGCCACCAAGCTCGAAGAAGTTGGAATTCGCCCCAAAGCTTTCACCGTCCAATCCAAGAAGCCTTTGCCACAAACTATGCAGCAACCTTTCTGCTTCCGAAGTGGGTACCTGAACCTTTTCTTCTCTAGAAAGTAGTAGTTGAGGCCCAAGACGGTGCCGCGCGATGTAAGCTTTGAGTGCGCGACGGTCCGCCTTGCCATTTGCTGTGACCGGGATATTTGTCACTGCTAAAAATACAGATGGTATCATGTATTTTGGCAGTGCAGTGCTGATTTGGCGAATTATATGTTCCTTCATATCCGCCAGGTGCTGCTGTAGTACGTGGTCGATGTCTATTTCGCTTCCCCTGTAATCTCCTTTTCGTGCTAGGTAAGCGACGAGAACATCGGAGTCCTGACCCTCAAATCGTGCAATATCGACAATCACCTGGATCTGCGCGTCGAAGAGGGATTCTTGTATGCGTTGCCGCACCTCCTCCCCTTCAAGCCTCTGGCCATGCAGCTTCAGCTGCATATCTCCACGTCCTATGTACAAAATGCTGCCGTCTTCCATGTAGCGGACAACATCGCCTGTTTTGTACATTCGTGTGATGTGCCCGTCTCGGAAGACTTGTAACCATCGCGGGCTGCGAATGAACTTCTCCTCATTACCTTCCGGGCGGTTCATATAACCCGTTGCCAGGTGGGGGCTCTCAATGACCAGCTCTCCCACTGCCCCCAGAGGTGTCAGGCAGTTGTGGTTTCCAGGCCTTACAACCCACAGGCTGGTCCCGACGCTGTACCCAATGTTCCTAGGGTCATTGCGTGACAAGTTACAATTGATAGCGCACTTAACGGAACATTCGCTCGGCCCGTATCCGTTCATGAGTTGGACAATGCCGTCCCATTTGTCCACTAGGGCCTGGTCAGGAGCTTCTCCGGAGAGCAGCAAAATCTTGAAATCCGGCAATTCGTCCTCTTTTAAGGTATAGGCCACGGAGGGAGTGATGTTGGCAAAGTTGACTCGGGTGGTTTTCATAAACGCACTGATATTCCCCATTATATCCTCGTCTGACGGTACGCAGATACAGCCGCCAAACATGAGTGTGGTCAATATATCCTCAACACTGGGATCGAAGGCGTATGGTGCGAACTGCAGCACGCGCGAGTCGGGCCCACGTTTGAGCAAAGGCGCACGAGCCATAGCACCTGTAGCGAAACTCTTGTGCTGTACTCCAAAGATTTTCGGTGTCCCGGTAGTTCCTGACGTTGAAAGGATGTAAAGTAGGCTGTCCGGAGTTGCAACCCTTCCATGGACCTTCGCAGCAAGCTTGAAGAATTGCGCTGTATCGTCAGAAACAACAATGGTCCGCCAGCGTGCATTGGGGAAGGCACCGCGCTGTGCTGAAGAGCAGAGAACAACTTGTATACCGGCATCATCGGCAATACCTTCGAGTCGGGCTCGCGGATATGTTGGTGACAGCGGTGCGAAAGCACAGCCTGCTTTGATGATGGCTAATATACTCACTATCGCCCACTGTGACTTCTCGAAAAGAACACCGACGGTGCTGCCTGGCTTGGAACCGGTCTGCACCAGTACTCCCGCCAGGTCGTCAGACAGCCTGTCCAAAGTTGCGTAATCCATGGTACCGTCTTTAGAACAGATTGCAGGTGAAGCTCGACAGTGTCTTACGCGCTCTCGGATCAACTCATGAACGCAAACTTCATAAGCCTTATGATGTCTAGCGTTCCACTCAAACATCGTTGACTTGTCTGCTGTGCTTGATAGGTCTAGTTCGCCGATTTTGGCATCTCTAGGCATTGTGCTGAGCTGTTCGAATGTCTGCTCGAATTGTTCGAGAATCCTTTGAACTTGCGGGGATGCAATGACATCGCTGTCGAATGTGGCGACCACCTCAATGTCACAGGTCCCAGGTATAAGCGTAAGTACCAGCGGGTATTCATGGAAGGATCTCTCAACCTCATCCAGGCTGATCCCTTGTTGGTCCACAGATGTGGTATTCGCCATTTGCACAATCAACAGCGTCCGAAATGAGGCAGCATTTTGGATGCCCTGACTGATGCCCATGATTCGCGAGAGGCCAAATTGTTCATACGGAATCATCGCCGAAAACTGCTCCTGGAGACCGCTTAGGAATCCGAGCACGGTCTGGGAGAGGTCGATTCGCACCCTAACCGGCAGCGTTGTGATGGTGGGCCCAACAACATCCTGTAGCCTAGGAGGCAGGGAATTGCGTCCATGGAGGGAGTTACCAAACGTGACGTCGTCAGAGCCCTCATACTCGGAAAGGAGGAGCGCCCACGCCGCCCTGGCCAAAACCGTTGTTGTTGTTGTGGCTACTGTTGGGGCTCCCATGGTGTGTCGCAAACTAGATTTGTCGGCTGCCAAATGCCCGGCCTTGGGGAAATTCGGAAATGATGGTGTCGGTGCATTCTCGAGCTGTTCGCGCCAAAATGCAATGCATTCATCTCGATTAAGACCCTCGCAGAACCGCACAAATTCTTGGAAGCTTCCTGTTGGCTTCGCAGTCACTGCGGCGGAGTGATAATTATGGCGAATACGATCGACCACAGACTCCAAGCTCCACCCATCGAAGACCGCGTGGTGAAGCGTCCAAACGAGATGAGTCTTGCCAGATGATGGGTCGATGACGTGATAATGCCTACTGAGATGCTGACCCGGCTGAAAAGAGACCGCTTTGTCCGCAGCCAGGAAAGATGCAAGATCTTGCCTAGCCTCGGTCCACTTTGCGTGAGATCTTAGGACCACCTGCATGAGGTTGGAAGATGATGGCACGATCGCTGTCCTCAAAATTGGGAAGTCAGTAGTGGCACTCTCCCAGGCAGTTTTGAACCTCGGGATATCCACGGCAGCCGAGAAGTCGAATACAAATTGGCTCGAATATAAGGAGGGCAGCGCCAGCGAAAGCGAAAACAGCCCTGCTTGCAGATCTGTGCATGGGAATGCACCCACGACCTCCTCCTCATTAAGACCGTATTCTTCCAGCAAAGACCGAAACTCCGAAGGATCCGCTTGTGGGAGTGGGCACAAGGGTGGGACGTCACTTAGATGGGATCCTTTGCCATCGCCTGCAGTAGGCACCTCCTGCATAGCGACAGCCATGCTGGATAGAGCTGGGTTCTTGAACACCTTCTCCATGGTGAGATAGAATCCTTCCTGGTTGGCCATCGCCACCAGTTTCATACATCGAAGTGAGTCCCCGCCTAGGCTGAAGAAATTGGCGTCTGCTGTGAGGCTCTGGGCAGATGGAAGAAGTTGTCTCCACATTCGGGCCAAGACCGACTCAGCGGACGACAGATCTTGATCTTCTTCGTCGCCCATAGGCACTCTGGTGAAGAAATTTGTCCCGAGACTCAACAGCTTCCGCCGGTCAAGCTTCCCTGTTGGCCCCAGAGGAACTTCCTTCAAAGGGATCCATGCGACCGGCCACATGTAGGCGGGAAGCACTTCAGCAATGCGTGCACGAAGTCCTTCAATCTCTAGCTCCATATCTTTGGTCATTCGCCCAGTGTCTCCATCAACATTCTGCGCAGGGCTATTGTGGATACTAGGGTGATGGAGGAAAGCTACCAAATTGTCAGTGCCAAGTACATGCACCACTTCCAGGAGTATGCTAGCCTCCGGGAGTTGAAGATGCTGTTTGATTTTTGTCTCGATATCTTCCAGCTCAATCCTTTGACCACGAAGCTTAACTTGGCGGTCACGTCGACCGACAAAAATCAACTCGCCGTCGTCGGCATATCGAACTAGATCGCCAGTTCGATAGCTCCGCCCCATCGAGGCAACGATTGACTCCCATTCTTTGGCCCACGGCGGAGAGTCAAGAAATAGGTCTGTGTTGCCTGTTTCATTGTTTATGTAACCTCGTGCAATTCCGGGGCCCTCCGCCACTAGCTCTCCGATAACTCCTACAGGAGCAAGCCGATTTGGATCGTCCAGGCGCGCTATCCACGCACGGCTGTTCACAGGAAATCCAATACGGGTCGCATCATCAGCCACAGGACGGGCTTTCTTCGCGATGCACGCCACTGTAGTTTCCGCTGGGCCGTAGCTTATGACCAAGTCCAGCTTATCGGCCCACACCCCTACGATATCTTGCGTGACCTTTTCTCCCCCGGAGATAAGGGTTGTTAGACATGGGACATCTGACGGCGATAGCAATCGCACCACGGTAGGTGTGAGGAGGACCGCATTGGCATTGAATCTGCATATCGATAGTGCTAACTTATCCAGGCGATCCGCATCGGAAGGAATGCAGACACATCCGCCAAGCATCAACGTCGTGAGTATTTCTCCAAACGCGGCATCGAATGCGTACGACGAGAACTGAAAATATCGAGTATGTGTGTTTATGCCCCAGATTTTGGCCAATGACAAAAGACTTGAACACAGTGATTTATGCTGCAGTTGTATTCCTTTCGGTATTCCCGTAGTCCCCGACGTGAAGATGACGACCGCTACGTCGGAGGGACTAATCTTGATCTCGTAGTTCTCGTTGGCGGCGGTTGCTGACAATGATGCAGCGGACACAACTATAATTTGAGGTGCCAGGCCGATAGCCCGATCTCTCTGGGAAGAGGAGCTGAGGATGATAGTGGCCTTGGTTTCATCACACAGTGTCTGTAGTCGGCTGGTGGGGTACGAGACGTCCATGAGCATAAAGGAACAGCCACTCTTCAAGACTCCAAGTATTGCCACCACGGTCCAGAGCGTTTTTTCAAAGCAGAGCGGAATGCAATCCCCATGGCGGGCTCCCGCCTCTAGCAGTCGGGAGCACACGTATGAGGACAATTTGTCAAGCTCTAGGTATGTAAGGTCACCATCCCAAGACGCCACCGCTTGTGCTCCGGGGCTCTCCTGGACTTTCTCTCCAAATTTCCCATGTACGGTGGATGCTACCACCGACGGAGGTTGGTAGTTCCATCGCTGTAGGTCTCGTCGGTCAAGGTCACAGATCAAGTCGAGGTCTCGCAACGTCCCCCCCTGAACCGCTACAGCCATCAACTGACTAGTAAGATGTGCCAGTTGATGAAGGAATCTTGCATGCACAGGCAAGCCCTCTTCACTCAGGCTCAGATGCACCGAACTCGACGACTGTGACCTTTTCACGGTGCAGAGAATGTCACGCGGGATATCGGATCTTCGCGCATTGGAAGCCACCTTATTGTGGGTTCTCCATTCCTTAACGCTGTCTGTACACATCGAGAAAGCGTTCAAGACCTGCGGAAGGCCTACGCTCTGCTGGTAAGACTTCTCAATGTTCTCGATAAAGTCGCGCGCATTGGAATGTGGATCGACTGCATTGCTGACCTCCCACACTTCTCCACGCGTACTAGCACGGACATGAAATAATGGCGTTGGCGACTGTAGATAGAGCGAGAGGAGGACCGCCAAACCGCCAGAGACTGCAACCTCAGGGTCCCATCCATTGGCACCGAGTTGTATCTCTCGGATGTTGGTTTCTATTTTTGACAAAGCCCCCATGGTTTCAATACCTTTCCCTTGGGTGCAGAAAGTGGAACTCCGTGTCACTTGTTATGTTGTAACGGACTAGAAGTGGTGTGGTGTATATGAGTATGACACTGAATATACAAGGCCAAAGCAAACGAGAAAAATGCACATACGAAGAGACGAACACAACACTGGGTACTATAGCATTGCCTATGTCCCTGGGGTCCTGTCGCCCTGTCAACCTCATACTATGCTATAAATAGGAACATACTCCAGGCATACGATGATATTCAAACTTAACGGCAAATACACTTCCATCCCCACGCATGATGAGCCTTACTCCTGCCAGTCTACTGTCAGCTCGGCAAGCCCTGGTCGTAGCGGCGCCCCGATGCCGCGCGCCAGCTCAACCAGCGGGTAGATGGCTGCGGGATATACCTCAGCTTCTATGTAAGCAGTTCCTGAAGTCGTGGCTACAGTCCTCAATTTGTCACTTTCTTTGATCTCGCAACAAACTGTGGTCTTCATTATAGTCTGAGAAGTTTTCATCCACAATGACGACCGATGTCCTCGTGCAGCCAGTGGACAGTCCGGATGACTTCGCTAAGATCTACCACTGCATGAGCGAAGCCTTTGGCCGCCAAATCAAAGAGTCAATATGGATCGCCATGAACTCAAACTGGAACTCCCCGGAAGGCCAGAAGGAAGGCGCCGCCAAGCTCCGTGACCGCTGGCAATCCGCAACCACGAACAAAGCTGGCGACCCTAATACTGTCATCTTGAAGGCGACCGTGCCAGACCCCCAGGACAGTTTCAAGCTTAAAGTCATCGGCGCGGCCATCTGGACACAAGCGTCCTTCGTGGAGGGGTACGGTGACCCGCCAACGGATAGCCCTGCTGGCCTCGCGGCCTTGGATCCCACCGAAAAACGCTTCGCGAGTCAGATGTATCGCTCGCTGTGGAAACGCCGCGTTTCTCTCGCGCGTGAAAAGGCGGACTCGGACTCGCCGGCCATGTTTATTCTCGATGTGTGCGCCGTCGACCCAGCTTTCCAGCGACGAGGCGCTGCGGGAAAGCTAGTGGCGTGGGGGCTTGAGGAGGCGAATCGGAGAGGGGGATTACAGTGCACGACCGAGGCCTCGGTTATGGGGCGCGCTGTGTACAGGAGGTTGGGATTTACAGCAGAGGGTGCGGAAGAGGACCTCGTGTATGACGTTGATGAGGAATTCAGCGATCGCGATATGCCCGGAGTTTTGTTTATGCAAACTTGGGCTGACCAGTGCGCCCGTAGTTCCGGTACTGTATAAATATGGATTCCTAGTGGCATTTGATTGATCTGGCTCGTATCATTTTGAGAAGAGAGGCTGCTGTGTATGCCCAAAGGGGACAGTTAAGTAAGTCACGGGACTAGTTTACATAGTTTCAAGCCCTAAGATGGCGAGACACACCTGGAACGCAATACAGACACCACATATACATCAATCCATTTCGAAGGGATTATTGTTAAATTGCAGGCATGAGTAGGTATGAGCATTGCCGCTTGGAATAGTTGACGGCCACTGATCCAGTAGCAGCCATATGTTCCGCGCAGGCCTTGTTTCTCGTCTCCGCTAATAACACAAATGGCAGTGAGATAGTCAATCACGGCGGCGGTCAGCCATGCGTACTGTTTGCAACCTTGTAATTGTCAAATAACACTTAATCGGTTTAAGAACCAGCGGCAACGCTAGGCTTACTAGATCGCGGCAACACTAGTATTCTCGCGCGATGCGACGGGTGGATTAGGATATGCATAGATCTTATTTGGATAGAGTGGGTCAGATTATGTTGAGACGCACCAATATTGAGCCGTGTGTGGCCAAGCTGCCCAATCAACTGCCAGGGACAGTGTTGCATGTACCGGACAGGCAGCTCCTTGCTAGGGCTGCTAACTCACTCCCATGAAGAGATCAGTGGTCTTCTACAGTCCGAAGAATTATCCCGCGGGAGGCTCCCGTCCACATCTGTCAAGTCTGAGCCTAGTGGAGTTCAGGATGACTGCTTCTCCAGTGTGTACATTCTGCCTCTCTGCTCTCTCATCTTGCACCGCTGGTGTTTTTTCCATTACGCTCTCGCCAATAGGGAGATTTGGTGCGCTTCGACGGCATCAGAATCGGCTTTTAACATCATGTCAGAGCAAAAAGATCGAGATCCTCCATCGGTAGAGTCCGTGACCTCGAGCGAGCCAGATCTCCCAACTGTCAGAGGCCACGTTCCGTACAAAGTTTGGCTCGTCCAAGGACTGTATTTCCTGGAGAGAGCTGCATTCTACGGACTCAGTCAACCCCTCCGTGTGTCTCCCTGCGTATAACAGCTGAGCATCGCATCTGGCTAACAGGACTTCTCCAGAGAATTACCTCCAGCTGTCTCGAGATGACCCTTTTCGCCCAGGGGCGCTTGGTCTAGGACAGGCACGAGCTGTATTGATCATCTACATCTGGTTTGTATACAGCTATAGCACACCGCTGGCAGGGGGCTTGCTAGCAGACTGCTGGCTTGGCCGGCGCAAAACAATTCAAGTCGGATTTCTGTAGGTTTATTGGTTATCCTGGCCAGCCTATAGACAGACAATAATGGTTCAGAATATACCTGGTGGGACTCGGCATTGTCACGGCTACCGCTTTCACGCAGCGAATTTACGGCACAGGAGGCCTCCCAGGCTTCATCGTTGGCATGCTTCTCGTTGGTGCTGGCACCGGAACTGTAAAACCCAATATAACTGTCTTCTTAAGTACGCATTGGGCGCTAGATGATTTCGCCCTTGCAGGTGCTGACGATCAACAGTTGACCAGCTCCCGGAAGAGGAACCCAAAATCGTCACCTTAAAGAACGGGGAGTCAGCAACAGTGAGCCGTGATCTCACGATTTCCTTTATTTGGAATGTCAATTACTGGTATGTGTTCACTTGAGGCTGCCCCACAGAGACTTGCTAATACATAAACAGGGTGATCAACATTGGAGGGCTGTGCGGCATTATCACCACCAATGTCGAGAAGTATGCCTATGCCGGCTTTGGCTTTGCCTTTCTGATCTGTCTCTGCTTGATTGGCATATCTGCCACAATTTTCCAAATTGGATACACAAAATTCGGTGAGTAACCTATTGCGTTGACCATCAGTGTGCGTCTCCCACTGACCAAATGTTAGACACCGCACCACCGTCCGGAAATCCTGTCGCGAATTTGGTCGGCGCATTGCGTCGCCGCCGGGAAGCAGCCCATCCCAGGCCCGATTTGACAGAAGTGGTAACACAGACGCCTTCTCAAAACGGCTCTATACCTTCAAGGGACGATGAGACTACAATAGCGGATGCAAAGTCCGCCCTTCGCGCCTGTTTAGTCTTGTAAGATGTTCTGACACAAAACCAGCACATCATAGTCCACTGCTGACAGAAATAGCCTTCCTTTCCCAGCCCTAATGCTATCCGTCAACCTTATGGACAGCACCCTCATAGCGCAAGCAGGCACCATGCAGACCCACGGCCTCCCTAACGATATCATGTACAATCTTAATCCCATATCCGTCATGGTCTTTCTGCCCTTCTTTCAAAGCTGGATCTACCCCACGCTAGCCAGAATGAAAGTCAACTTTTCACCGGAACACCGCATCGGCGTGGGGCTCTTCTGTGCCGCGCTTGCGCTGGCATACACCACTGGAATTCAGCACCTCATATATTCGACTGGTCCCTGCTTCAGCCGCCCACTCAAATGTCTTGGTGGGAGCATCCCCAACGACGTCTCCGTTGGACTACAGACCCCGACTTACGTGCTGCTCGGGTGGGCGGAGATCCTGGCCATCGTGGCGGGTACCCAGCTTGCTTATGCGCGGGCCCCGGCGAGTATGAAGTCAATCGTGCAGGCTCTCTTCAACTTTTTCAGCGCCTTGGGATCGCTGATCGGTGGTGGGGTGTCTTTCGCTGCCTATGATCCCAATATGGTCATCGTGTATGGATCAATCACCGGGCTGCTGCTCTTCGTCAGTGTTGCTTTCGAGCTTAGCTATTTTGTCAGGGGCAAAGTCTGACCCAACAAGAAAGTCCTGGTCCTGACAATGTATTGCCAATGATTCCAGTGGTATTACATTATTAGCAGTTGTCATCGCTATATCGGTGAAGATTGATCATGGGGGAAGCTTGGTGGAACAACAGCCAAAGTACTATGGAGGATACAAATGCATTTAAAATATAGAAGCGGCCGGTTACTATTTTGTTCCTCGAATGCATAACTTCGCCTTGGGTTATATATTGTCCAACACGCACTTATCCACATTTCTATAATTCTACTCCTTTGTTATATACCGTCTGTGTCCTTCTCAACTTTTGCTTCAGGTGTTTCTTAGAATTCTGACTTCTACAAAACTAGTTGGCATACGGGCGCATTGATCTCGCGCGTCTGTATCTGATATGACTTCCTTCCACCTTCCATCGCAAACCTGTATTCACTATTCAGGATTCCCTAGAACTAAGCAGAGACTGGCAAGTTATTCAGAGCCCATTTCACACCATCCACAACAATATCCGGCTGGGTCAACTGGACGAAGTGTCCACTCTCCGTGGCAAAGACCAGCTCGCTCTTCGTCGACAGTTTCCGGAATTCGTTCATCAGACCCTCATTCTTCGCATCAACCGTCTTAATCATTTCCCTCACATGGCTTCTTTCCTCCTCATTCCCATTCCCTTTTGCCACACCCGCCGCGTACAATCCGCTCCAGTCCCTGCTTCGCGTGCCACCAATCACATAAACCGGCTTGCCCCCCAGCAGCGGCTGCCTCTTACTCAGCTCCTTCTTTCGTAGTATCTCAAAACTGGGCAGGTAGTTCTCGATCTCCTCCTGACGCTCAGTGAGCTTGAACTGATCAGTCGATTCTGCCGCCCGGAACGCGTCCCATTCCTCCTGCGTCAGCTTGTGCCCTGACTCCACGCCCCACGCAGAGTACGGTTCTACGCCCGCGGCGATAACTGTCCACAAAATGGGATCGTTTACGTCCATCACCAGAGGCGCTGTCTCGTGGTTGGCATCCACGAGTACCAGACCGGCGAGTTGGTCGGCTCCCTTGAGGGCGATGTACTCGTGCGTAAGCACTCCGGCCCAGGAGTGGCCCACGAGGATCAGCGGGTTCGCGATAGGTGCCTTCTCAATCAACAGGGAGAGTTCAAGCGCAACGTTCTCGGCTGTGGGAGCGCGTGGCGAGGACTCCGAGTTGTTATAGCCGGATCGGTCGTACGTGTAGCTTCGCACCGTGGGACCCAGCAGCCGCACCACCGCTTGCCAGTTGAGGGCATCGCTTGCCACCCCCGAAATAAATAGTACGACGGGATCACTGGCGCTGCTGGGCTCTGGGCCGTGCGTGTACAGAGCCAGGGAGTGAGTGCCGATGTTGACGAGGCGGCCGTTCGAAGGGAGGGTTGAGGCCATTGTTGGGATGATTATGAAATCCTTAAGATTCGTGAATTCTTGAGGGGTCAAGTGGGATATTGGAGCCGATTACCGGCCAGGCCAGCCGCAATATATCGGGGTATGAACCATAATGGAGGGGTAAAGACGGAGGGACAAAGAAAAGGTGGAAGGACAAAAAGCCCACTCTGGTGTGGACCCGATCACCGTTGGCGCTTCATCTGGGTACATCTTAGCGTTGCCGCCGCCCCACAAGTCCCCTGTCCGGGCCTAACGGCTTTGGGGAGCGTGCCTGCACTTGATGTAACCATGTAACATGGTCTCATATTCGTAATTTTATATTATCAATTTATATTAGTTGGCATTGCTTATCATGGTCGATTGAGCGAACATTCATAGTCGTCTTACATAAGAGGATCTTTTCATGTCATGTAGCAGATTGAACATCATCAACCTTGTCTCCGGGATTAACCTCATGAAATATATATATGGGTAATACAGCACATGTTGGTCTATTATTTGAAAGGCTTAATTAGAAGAGGTGTACAGAGTATATTGCGGCAAGACAGGATAGCTGCCTGCCACTTCTCAGTTGTCAATAGGTACAATCATAACCGCTACGTCAAAAAGTTGGTCGATGTTTGGTATAGGGCTTGACCGAACTGATATACCTAACACATGATATAGCAGTAGATGGCCTACTATGATATATAGTCAGATGGGCATCCGAAATACATATTGAATGGGTCTTGGGTCTCAAAGTATACAGGCGCTACCTGCATCACTTCGCACTTTTATCTTGCGGAGATAGCCGATGAAAAGGCCTAGGAGGATAAAGTGTCGATTATATTCACATCATAAGAAGACTTGTAGGTGGTCAGATTACAAGATGATAAATCAGTGTGGGAAATAGACTCTGTTCGTCCGCTGGCATGCCAACCGATCACAGTCATTTGCTACATACATAATGTATACAAAACAGACAGATAGCGACTTATAGACGTGGGAGTAGTAAACATGTCGACCAAATTGCAATTTCTCTAGACAAGTTTCATTTAATTTTTTGTCACTGTTTCAACCTTCATAACCTGATCAATTATTGTAATCTTCAGTATTTGGCCATCTGATCGATATTTTCCACGATATATAAATTTGGAGTCTGACAAGTTAGCGAAGCTAGCTGTTTGAAAAATCCTCCATCCATGTCCAAAACCTTCGAGCGTGGTCTGTATCAGACTCTCACACCTTTCATACCAGCCGTACGTATATCCTGAGTCCTCACTATTATTGTTTGATCAATCGACTGCTTCCCAGTGGAGCCCAGGAAGCCCTTTACTCGAAGATACTCAACGTTCTGCCGCACAGCGGCAAGGACCTCTCGCATCTCCCATTCGCAGCTCTCAAGTTCAGAGACTTCGATCTCCGTTCCCAGTGTGCCCAGAAACTGTTGTACCGGCCATAGCGGATGCTGTTCTTGCTGCCGCGCCATGTCCTGCCTGGCAAGCTCAATCCACTCGTCCCACGACACCGGCCGCAGTGGCAGCTGTAGTTGATCCTCGACTGCCCCCCAGAAGGCACTGACCCATACGCCTCTCTTAATGTGGACGAAACTCTCTTGACTCTTCCCAACCGCGTGCCATATAATACTATCCGTGACGTGCCGAACATCCGACACCGACAGCCACGATGTCTCCGAGTCGAGTGGGCGAGCTCCTACCCGAACCGCGCCCATCACGATCCGCCACAGGAAATCGTCAGCATTCGCCACGCCCGTGTGCACATCCCCAATGATCTGTCCGGGTTTGACAACCGAGAAGGATGTGCCCTGTTTGCGACATTGCCTTGCAACACCGCTCACCAGTCGCTCTGATACGTATTTTGTCTGATCGTATCCATTGGCTATCCGCGCCTCTTCATCGGTCCAGACTCGGCTATCCGTGATGAGACCGCCAGAAACGTACACAAAGGTCTTCAGGAAAGGAGATTTTATCGCGGCCTGCAGAAGCTGCGCTGTGGACCCAACGTTCACGTCTTTCAGCCCGTCGTAGCTCGTCGACCAATGCACTCGGGCGCCGTTGTGGATGATAGCGTCGATAGGGCCATGTGAACTCGGACGACCGCACAACGCGCTCCAATGTGAATCGTTCAGCCCTAGTCTTTTGGCCGAGAGGTCCCCATCCCAGACTTCGATCACCGAAGCAAACGATTCTTTCCACCATCCGGTGATCTTGGCCGTCCTCCTTACTCTGTCCAGCCCCGTCTGTCCGTCGAGGCCACGAACAAGGAGCACGACCTTTTCGAATGCGCGCTTTGTGAGTATAAAGTGGAGAATCTGGGTACCCAGGAACCCGCTTGACCCGGTGAGGAAGACCGTTGATCTAGAGCCGGTACGACCACAGTCAATCTGGCTGACCAGCAAGTTGATCTCGCGCTCCAGGTCAGTCGGTGTTGGCTGGGTCAACTCCTCGACTGACTGGCCGCGCAGCAGGTCATCGATTAGCGCGGAAAGTTCACGCAGGCTATTTTGCTGTCGGATCAGCCGTGGTACTCCAATGTTGAGGTCGAATTGCTGGCGTATGGCCATAGCCAGTGACATAGTCTTGATTGAATCACCCCCAACGTCGGAGAATCTGAGACCTGTGCTGATAGTATGGGGTTTTATATCCAGCAGCCTTCCCCAGATCCCCCGCATGGCCTCTTCTGTGTTGGTCAGGGTAGCATCAGACGTCGACCCGTCTGAGGATGGAGGCTCCGATGGGTTGTAGGTTCTTCCCAGCTCGCAAATCCTCCTTCTATCCGTCTTTCCTGTTGCTGTCATGGGCAGCTTTGACAGCGAAATAGGGATGTATACGCTGGGAACCATATACGAGGGGAGCAATTTCGACAGCTCCCTGCGAAGTTCTGCGACCATCGGGGCAATGACCTCATTCGGTGTGACTCCTGCACTGTCGCCGTCAAGCATGACCAAGAATGCCGCCAGAGTCTGGTGCCGAGTAGAGTCCGGGGTGATCACATCCACCAATATCTGCGACACCACGGTGGTCGGAAGCAGTCGACGGACGTGGTGTTCGATCTCCCCTAGCTCCATTCGCTGGCCGTTAATTTTGACCTGGGTGTCGGTTCGCCCTACAAATCCAAGCGAGCCGTCAGGTTTGTAGTAAACCAGGTCACCCGTCCGGTAGAGTCGTCCTCGGCGACCAGGCACTCGTCCGGGTTTTCCATCCAATAGCCATTTGGGGTCCTCGACAAACGCACTGGCAGTCTTGTCAGGGTTGTTCAGATATCCTGCACCCACGATCGGCCCTTCCAGCCACAACTCGCCGACGGTTCCGATAGCCGCCAGCCTGTCCGGTGCAAGAGGTTGAACTACCCACGTCAACGCGCCTGTACCTTTGCCTATCCCGGGGTCACCAGCTCTGACGTCGGACTCCCCCCTACCAACTCTCTCTACCGTGCTTGTGACAGTGCATTCCGCAGGGCCATACGTGTTGTAGATATCGGCACTGGAGACCTCCCATTGGGCGACATCACTTGCCTTTAGCGCCTCGCCAATGAAAAAAACCTTCGTGAGGCCTTTCAAGGCTGCGGGATTGAGCAGGCGTCCAACGGTGGGTGTGAGATGGACGAAATTCGCCCGCAGCCGGCTAATGGAGCCGTTGATGTCAGCAGTGCGTTCGTCCTCCGACGGAATGCACAGACATGCACCCGCCGTTAGTGTGTGCAGTAAATTAGACCATGCCACGTCGAAAGCGTACGAGGTAAAATCGAAAACTCTCGACGACCGCCTGAACTCGAGCGCTGGCTGGTGGTGTCTGATTGCGCTGCAGAAATTGGCGTGTGTGACGATGGCCCCCTTCGGGGCGCCCGTGCTTCCGGAGGTGAAGACGACGTAAAGTGCCGATGAGGGCATGACTGTAGGCAATGTTGGAATGGGACCGGGTGGATTTTTCCAATCACTATCTACTTCGAAAGTTGGAGCTTTGGTGATGGCGACAGCAAGGTTCGCACAAGACTTCGAGGTCAATATCACCTTTGCTGATAGCTGGCTCACGATAGTCTCCAGTCGGGAGCAAGGCAGTGTCGTGTCTAGTGCGACAGACGCAGCACCGGCTTTCATGATGGCAAACACCGCGACGGGCACCCATAAGGACTTCTCCATACACAGCGGTACGATGGCACCCGGTCCCACTCCGAGCCCCAAGCTGACGAGGCGCCCTGCCAACAACGTGGAAAACCGGTCAAGCTGGCGGTATGTCAACTGGCCATCCCACGCGCACACGGCGGGTGCATCGGGGGTCTCGATGACCCTCTGCGCAAACAAATTGTGCACGCAGTCCTCGACGCTCTCCGGCACCGTCGCGTTCCATGTCCATATGTCCTGCAGGTCCCGCTCGCTGACTCTGCTGAGATTGCCTATGTCGGTCGAGCCATCAATTGAGGCGATCTGACCTAGTATATGCTCCAATTGCTGGAGGAGTCGTACCGCACTTTTTTCTTGGATAGTGGCGGAGTCGAAGCTCAACTGTAGGTTCAACCTAGACTCCGATGTTTGGCACGTAAGCATCATGGCGTATGTGTTTTCCGAACCGGAATCGGTTTCTTGGTCTTTGAGACCTTCTTTGAAGACGAGACTGTCGACGGCGCTTTCTTCGACTGACGGATGTACCAGCAAGAGGGTCTGGAATTCACATGCATATTTGGCCTCCTGGTTGATCTGGCGCACATGCTGCAAGCCGTACTGCTCAAAAGGAATCATCTCCGTCGCCTGTCCTTGCACCTGATGTAACAGATCGTCGACGGTCCCGCGGACTACGATTCGAAGTGGGACTGTCGCAATGGTAGGACCAGCTACGTTCTCGACCCCATGTACGGAAGCTTGACGGCCTGACACAACCGCCCCAAATGTGACATCTGGAGAGTCAACGTACCAGGAGATGAGCGTCGCCCAGGCCGTACGCAGCGCCGAAGAGGGTGTAACACCGCACGTGGGCCAGCGAATGCGATCAATCGAATGATTGATCACCTTGTCTGGCGTTGGTTCGTACGTCTTAGCCGGGAGGGTTGGAAACGGCGAAGCTTCGATCCCCGCAAATTGTTGCTTCCAAAAAGCCGCCCCGTCGTCACCGTATTGGTTCATAACGTTTTTCACGAAGCTTTGCATGGGAAGTGCGGATAATTCTCCTTCGCCGTTTATGTACACCTTTTCCACCTCTTTTTGTAGAAGTGGCACAGACCAGCCGTCGTAGGTCGCATGGTGATGTGTCAACGCCAGGTATCTCTTGCCTGTGCGTTTGTCGTGGATGATGGCGAAACGGGTTAAGGGGGTGCCCAGACCCATTGTGGTGCTTCCGAAAGTGCCTTCCTGCTGCCCATTGTCGGCGTTTAGTCTGCTTTTATGATATTCATCCCAGGAGCAGAAGGTTTGCCAGTGCAATACCTCTTTAATGACAGCTTGTACCAATCCCTGACCTGGCAGGTCAACAATGCGGGTTCGAAGGATAGACGCTCTTTCACAGACGATTCGCCACGCCTCCTGGAGCCTTACTATATCGACCCCTGGTTGTAGTTCCGCAACCCGGTGGCCCACATATTTGCCCACGCTCTTCGCCGTCATGGCCAACAGGCCCTCCTGTAGCGCTGTGCAGGGGAATAAATCCTCGACCTGTGAAGGGGCCACGCGCCACGTGCCGACGGAGCAAGATTCTGCTACCTGGCGACAGGCGCTGTCCCTGTCCATCTCGGCCTTCAAAAGGGAAAACGGTCGCACCGCTTCTGGGGCCACTTTCTCATGTCGTGACATGAGCTTAGCCATCTCGCTGAGCTGCGGCTGACTGTAGATATCCGAGACCGTCAACCAAATCCCATTTCGTCCGAGATCAGTTGCTAGCCGGATGGCGGAGATCGAGTCACCACCAAGGCGCAAGAAGTTATCTTCTGTCCCAATGTCGCTTGCTGGAAGGTTCAGCACTGATGCCCAGAGATCCCGGAGCTGTCTCTCGCCCTCTGTAGTGGGTTCGGCATGTTGTTGAGGACGGCGACCACACAGCAATGCGAAGGTTTTGTAGTCCAGTTTGACGCCCATTTCCCGCAGTGCCCTTCGGTCCGTCTTTCCCGTTAGCCCTCGTGGTAGGTCGGTCATGGGTATATATGCACTAGGGACCATGTGAGGCGGCACCTGGCCGGGCATTGCTCTTTCCAACATTTCGATAATGGGGGCGGCTTTCTCGTGCAATTGGTGAGGGCTGGTCGTAGGCATGAGCAGAAAGGCTACCAACATCAGACGTTGGGTGACCTCTGGCGTGACGACTTCAGCGACAATATCAGCCACGGCTGGCATCGAGTTCAAAACTCGACAGATATGGTGCTCCACGTCTCCTAGCTCCGTCCTCTGGCCATTGATCTTAACCTGGGTGTCTTTTCTCCCGAGGTATAGAAGTTCGCCGTTAGAAGTGTACCGGACCAGGTCTCCTGTTCGATACAGACGACCGCGACGGCCCTGCACCCCCGCACCGCCACGTAGTAACCAACTTGGATCTTCGATGAAGGCTGCGGCCGTTTTATCGCCGTCGTTCAGGTATCCGGCTCCAACGAGTGGTCCTTCGAGCAGCAGCTCTCCGGTCAGTCCTATGGGCGTCAGGGCATCCTTGTTCGGGTCGGCGATCCATGTCGTCGATCCCAGGGCCCACCCAATGCTAGCCTTTCTAGTCCCACCCTTGTTGGTGACCCCGGTGGCAGTCACGGTACATTCAGCCGGGCCGTACGTGATGATCTTTGTGCCAACATTTCTCAGCTGTGGTAACTTGTCGAAGTCGACAACCTCGCCGCTTAGCTCGACAGTGTCCAGTGTGGGCACTTTGTCTAGGTCCAGAATGGCGGCGACCGACGGTGTAAGGTGCACAGAGGTCACCTCGTTCTTGACCATGTACCCAACGAAGTCATGCTTTCTGTCGTGCTCGGAGGGTATGCACAGGCAGGCTCCCGCCGCGAGGGTGTGGATGAAATCAGACCATGATACGTCGAACGCGTAAGAGCAGAACCCTGCCACTCTTGCGGTCGGATGGAAATTCTTGTACTCGCTCTGATGCTTGACTGCCGATGTGAAGTTCGAATGTGTGATTGCCGCCCCTTTCGGGTTCCCAGTGGTGCCGGACGTAAAGACAACGTAGAGAAGGTCGCTTGGCTTGCCGACAGGAAGTGCTGTCCCTGCATCTCCACTTTGTCGTTGCTCCGGCACCTCTAAGATGGTCTCTTTCTGGACTACGAATGGTGTTCGCTCGGTAATCAGAGACACAAGAGGTGCTGTTGATGGAGCACATAGAATAAGGCCCAGTCCTACAATGTCGATCATCTTGCTGATGCGGTCCTTAGTCTGCGACGGATCGATCACCACCGACACCGCACCAGCCTTCATGACCGCGAATTGAGTGACGGGCACCCACATGGACTTTTCGAAAATTAACGGCAGTACATCCCCTGGACGTACCCCCCTGCGATTGAGGCAATGTGCCAACTGGGTGGAAAGCGTGTCCCATTCAGCGTATGTCAACTCCCCATCCCAGGCACATATGGCTGTTTTGAGCGGATGTCGAGCGACGCTCTCAGCAAAGAGGTGATGAACGCAACCTCTTGCCGCCTGGGGGACCTTTTCATTCCAGGCCCAGACTTGGCGCAGGTCATCTGCTGTCATCCTGTCCAGATCGCTGATCTTCGTACTGGCCATATTGGCCCGGCAGATCTGACGCAGTACGTGACCGAAGTGGTCCAGGACTCGCGGTGCGTCCTGCTCGCTGAGAGTCGTCGCGTTGAATTCCATCTCTAAATGAAGAGAAATATCGTTTACCTTGCAGTGGAGGATGACATTGTGTGTCCCTAACCCTACCCCTGCGTCGAAGATTGGCACCTTGTCTGCTTCGACGGCAGATTGCACCACTAGTAATGACCGTTGTTGCCAACCCAAACTGGTCTCTGCGTTGCGTGGGAAATTCGTCATTCGCTGCGATGTAGGTAACCGCATCTTGTGCTGTAATGCAGTCAAGGTCATATTTCCTTCAACCACCACGCCAACAGTTAGGGCTGCGGGTCCAGCACGCCGTTCGCCTGATACTGGCAACACGACATCGAACACCGTATCGGTCTCCTCCCCATACCATGACAGGAGGATAGTCCACGCAGATTCGATTACTCGGTCAATCTTGACACCTTGAGGCCATTCGATATCCTCAATACCACGCTCGATTGATTTGCGGGCTGGCGCATAACCATCTCTCGCAGGCAACCGCTTGCTCAACAATAACTTCTCTCCGGTGTGTGGGCTTCCCTTGGCTGTCGGGACTTTTTCATTGTTGATGTGGTTTACGCCGTCGGACAGCGAAAGTAGTCGACCAACCATTTCTCGCCGGCTTGTGGTGCTTCGTTGCGGATATACTTGAGAGAAAACGTAGGGACCGTATGAAGTCAACTAAAGTTGCCTTCGTATGACTTGTGATTTTCAATGCATTGATAGACGTTTGGTTTGGCTTGCTGCTGAAGTACTCAACCTCTTCTACCTCTACACATTACATCTCTGACTCCTATACGAGTTGTGCCAACTTTGGCTTAGCCTTGCCGCCCCGAACTTGGGCCTTCCATCGTACATGTCGTTTTATCTCTACCCTCGAGAGCATTGTCTGTGTATACTTGGTATCAAGAAGAGTGCGCGCCAAAGGAAGCCCCGCGGGGTAAGCACTAGTGATCGAGTCAGATTTGCCTTGATGCATTTGCCGCGCTAGGGGATCGCCGGAGGCTTACGCCCAGTGCAAAACAAGATAGTGAAGATGCATATATGCATACTTAGCACGCAATGGCACAATTGGCAAGTGGAGCGTCCATGTGTTCTTGGCGGCTCACCGCGCCAGCCCAACGAGCCGCCGGTGCTTGTTTAGCTCTGCCGCCCAGGGCCAGACACAATGCTCACTAACGCGATACGGAAGTGTTGGTACAACGTCCCTCGTATCTGAAAATATCCTGTTATTGTTCATGGGTCATTGTTACATATGCTGCCTAGGCGGGCGTGGCGAGACTTGCTGCCTCCAGATTCACAAGGAGCCGACGCAGTATCAAGAAAGAATTAGCAATTTTCTTTACCACGCCTGGTCATAACAAACATGGAGTTCGAGAAAACATGGCCGGAATTATCCATGAACGGTGAGCAGCCGTTCACAAATACCTCCGTTGTGATTGTCGGGGCCGGCATTGGAGGCATGTGCGTTGCCATTGATCTGATCAAACGCAACAACTCCCGAGACTTTGTCATTCTGGAGCAGTCGGCCGGGGTGGGCGGGACATGGTAAGCAGCACCAGCTATCCTCCTCCGGTAGAGCTTCATATCTCATAATACTGGATAGGCACGCAAACACGTATCCTGGTTGTGCAGTGGACTTGCAGTCCATCGTTTACAGCTACAGCTTTGCGCCCAACAGCAACTGGAGCCGGGATTATCCGGGACAGAAGGAAATCCTGTCGTACCTGACCCGTGTGGCGCAGGAATATAGGCTGTATGAGCACATCCGATTCTGCTCTACGGCCGAGTCCGCGACCTGGGATGACGAGCGGAAGAAGTGGAACACTAGCGTGTCGGTTGCTAAGGGCTCCAAGGACGCGGAGACTACCTCCCACTACACGATCTCGAGTGACTTTCTTGTCAGCGCGGTGGGCCAGCTCAGTCAACCCAAGTGGCCCGACATCGAGGGATTGGACCGTTTCACGGGGAAGAAGATGCATAGTGCTGCGTGGGACTGGACGTACGACTTGAAAGATAAGAGAATCGCTGTGGTTGGCAGTGGTATGTGACTATCATAGCAAGGGGTTCGTCGTCCCGCTGACCTTTGTTTGCGTCTCCGTAGGTTGCAGTGCCGTCCAGATCGTACCGGAGCTTGCCAAGGTTGCGAAGAAGGTCACGGTTTTCCAACGAACGCCGCACTGGATCGTCCCTCGCGGCGACTACATAATCTCCGACTGGAGAAAAGCGCTTTACCGCTATTTCCCCTTCTGGCAACGGTACTGGCGCCGACGTTACGTGGATCTCAACGAAACAGAGTACATCTCAAACAACTTCGCCGGGCACGAGGAAAACCAGAAGCTGAAGCAAGTCGCGCTGGATATGATGCACGAGCAGCTGCCCGACCAGCCCGAGCTGTGGGCGAAGCTGACCCCTCACTATCCGCTAGGCTGCAAACGAGTGGTGGTCTCAGACTTCTTTTACCCATCGTTGAACTGTCCCAACGTAGAGCTGGAGGACAGGCCTATCCGCAGCATCAACGAGGATACAGTGCGTCTGGGCAACACTGCAGGACAGCCCGAGGAGGCCGGCTCCGCCTACGATCTTATCGTCTGCGCCACTGGATTCCGCGCCACTAACTTCCTGCACCCCATGAGGATCTTCGGCCGCAATGGTTGCGCTTTGCACGAGATGTGGAAGGATGGGGCGCAGGCCTACCAGGGCACCTGCGCCGACGACATGCCAAATTTCGGCATGGTACTGGGCCCCAACACGGGATTACTCCACAACAGCTTTATTCTGATGATCGAAGCACAAAGCAGGTATATCAACGGATTGATCAAACCGGTTCTGGAAGCGCGAAGGCAAGGAGGGATGCTCAGCCTGACGCCGCGGCCGGAAAAGACCGCAGCGTACAATGCCGAGCTGCAGCGTCGACTGAAAGTCTTCGCCGTCAATGACTCCCAGTGCGACAATTGGTACAAGACGGGGTCCGGACTGATCACAAATCTGTGGCCCGGCATGGTGCTGGAATTCCAGAAGCTGATGGAGCGGGTGGACTATGGAGACTATGATGCGGAGGGGTCTTTTACACATATCGTGCGAGAACGGCCTCTGCGCATGGTGGGCCGTGTGGTTGAAGAGGGGGGCATTCTCGAGAAGCTTTCCTTCACGAAGGCGGCGGTGCTTAGCTTGGGTATGATTATTGGGGGGCTTCTTTTGCCTTTCGTATGAAATTCTTGGGCGAGCTGTTTTATCGAGTGGTATGTGGGATTTGGCAGCTGGGCTGTATTCTGTTGGTGCACCTGCACCTGTTATCCAAGGAACTCAGTACCTTCTACTTTGAACTTCAAGCTCCATGATAGGGATATATAATTAGCTGTATATATATTTTCTCCTCAGTATGCTAAACAATCATCTCTGTTAGCATATATAACTCCTATTACGATTAGACTCAGGAATGTGAAGCATTATATAATTCTAGTATTACTGGCTATTCTTGATATAAATTTGTCTATATATTGCTTTGTTTTACGGGTAATTATCTCTATTAACAACATACGTGGTGGTTAGACATAAAAAGCAGGTCTTTGATTCAATGCCTTCCTCCTGGCGAGCATATATATAAATCTATTCTGATCGAAATTAACTTTTCATGCCTACATTCCAACGTGTAATATCCATCAAATAAACAAAATAGAGCGACCCCGTCTCTTCATTATTGACGCCCAATCCCGACCCGATGATTTCGCCTTCCTGAACCGCCAGCACTCCTCCATGAGGCTCAAGGCCTCCAAACACGTTCCGTGCATGATTCGGGGAAATAACACCAGCTCTCGGAAAACCGTCTGCTGCTCATCGCTCGCCAAGCATCCCGAGATACAATACGGCCAGACCACATGCCGCAACAGTTTTGGGTCAGGTAGGCTTCGCAGAGCAGCGATCGTCTCGGAAACGCTTCTCTTGATATCCGGGATATTGGGATAAGCACCGGAAATGACGACGTAGAGATAGGTCACGGCTGCGTGGGCGAATATTCGTGTTATCGTAGTCTGGATGTGCTCCAGACTGGTGTGGGCGTCGACTGGAGTGCTTTGAGAAAGGTCGTTCTCGATGCTGGCTAGTCGGCTGAGGAGGCGCTCCTCGATTTGACGACCGCGTTCCGTCAGCTCGATGAGGCTCAGTCTGTGCGCGTTCTCCTCTTCCTGTTTCCAGTTGTCGAGGGACACGATCTCGAAGATGCAGATCATTGCCCAGTTGCTGCAACCTGTTAAATCCACGAGATTGATTGTGCCGGTTTCGAGCAGGACCTTGTGATCCGGTATCAAGAACTGGCTGGATCGAGTGGAAGCGCAGGTGACGATGTGCATGTAGATAAAGAAGCCGAGTAGGAAGCTGATGGACGTATCGGGATGATTTGGCACTGCGCTGCTTTGATGCTCCGCTGTTTGGACGTTTCTGGCTGTCGCTGACCTCATCTGTGCCCGCACTAGCGATTGTAGTAGGGCATTCGCCCCCTCGAGATGGATCTGCCAGTTGTGCTTCCCGCCACTACAAGCCTATCTCATAGAATGGTTAGCATTGGTGGCCACACTATGGCGGCGTGAGCGTACTTCGTAGATTAGGAGATGGAGAATGGCCGTCAGGACTTCGACACTGTGGGTGAGACCGAGGCTTCCGGTCCATGTAGCGGTTCGTTGAAGGGTGGTTTGCAGTTCTTGGAGAGCTAAGTCGTAGTGCCCACCGCTTGTTCGCACTAGATACACGCTTCCATGTTGCGGGGATGTCGAGTGGTGATATTCGCTCAAGGCCAGTGCGGCATGATAGGCGCAGCTCACCCGCTTCAAGATTGAAAGCAGCCAGCCCCGCCCTTGGCGACTGGAGGGAAAGTAAAAGGGACAATGTAGGTAGAAAACATGGTCCAAGTAGTACATGAATAGGATATCTTCCACGTCCCCTTGCAATATTGAAGTAATCAGTTCGGTGGGGGAGGAAACGACTTCCAGAGGAGCTGAAGCCAAAGTGCTACAAAGCGACCGATCTGCTTTATCACTGTTTCTAGATGACCCCGATGGGCCGTATTCGCTGACTATAGAGTCACATATTAGGTCTATGGTGGCCCTGTTTGCGTCAGAGGAGGAATTTGCGTCAGAGGAGGAATTTGCGCCAGAGGAGGAGTTTGCGTCAGAGGAGTTTGCATCAGAGGAGGAGTTTGGTCCTGAGACATCCATGTACCCCGGCGCGTTACCCCCTTCAAGGACTGGAGATATACTTGTTGCAAGTGTCTGTGACGCGTCAGAAGAGGGCTGCTTGTGTGTATTCATGCGCATTGTGTGGTTGTAAAAGAGTTCGGCCGAGAAATCAGCGCTGGTGGGCGCTTCGCTCCATATCACTTCGCTGGAGGTGTGCACATCCTCGTCTCTATTGAAAGACCGTGGGTTGTCTTCAGACACCAGCCCATTCTGCAGGAGAAGCGGCTCCTGTGCAGGGCGTGATAGGGGATGGTTTGTCGTGGTGCTGGGTCGAACCAGTAGACTGTGTAGCTCAGGTTCCACCGCTGTCGGTGTGCTGGGGAGGTCATTGTCCCGCATGGCTGCTTTGATCTGGGCAATGATATGTGACCTGTAGCGAGCTTGTTCCTTCTGCAGATCTCCCCGGTCCATCCAGTACGGCCTTGGTCCGTAACCATCGCAGACTATCTGGAGAGATGTGCATCGGAAACACGATGGGTGGTTTTCATCACACTTCTTCTTTCGGAGTCGACAAGTCCAGCAGCCATGAGTGCTTCGACTGGCTAGCTTGCGAGACATCATGGCGGCAAATGGGATCTTCCAGCTGATAGAACCGGCCGATGTCTACTCTCGCGCTCAATAGTCCCCGTTTTTTCTCTCGGCCACGGGCGATCTTGTGCATTTATTGGCTTCACTGTATTGCGAATAGGTAAGCACTAAATACCTAGCATCGGGCTATCCGGCATTTTTCTCGTTCCCGAGAGAGCAGTAGTTTTTGCCGTTTTTCGAGAGGCTGTAGAGAGCCTAGCAAATCATAGTTGGAAGTCACCATGCTCTTGTTGGAGGGGGCCCGCGGCTGGAACTCTCGTACAATGAGCGAATCAGACATCGGTCAAAGGTCCTCCTTGGTATCTTTATGTATGTCAAGTCTGACATCAAATCGGAATCAATGCTTGTAGATGGATTCACATCCATGGTATGGCTTTCCGAAGTGCACGCGGTATGGTACCTGCGAAAGTGGGTCCTTCTCGGCCTCAACTCCGTGATTTGACCACGCAAAGAGCTCATATGGTTCGAGAATTTAGAAAGATGACCAACATATATACAAATCGGTGACAGGTATGGTATAAGAATCAAACAATGATCATATACGTAGTACATGGGATGTAATAATTACCTCTAAGTACTATAACCCACGTCCCCACTATATAGTCACTCTTTACTTGCGATGATGTTTTGGTATGTCAAAGGTGGACATTTCATGCCATTTCACGTCAATGCCTGACAAAATGTTGTCACGCTAAAATGATGCTAGGATTGCCTATATTTGGTAGTTAGCGAAATTTTAGATGGGCGGCTAAAAATTGCAAATTTTCAAGCTAATCAGAGCCACCTGCAAAGGCAATAAAAATACGACATTGATTCATGTGATTAGCTGAAGGTGATTGAAACTAACGCGCCAACATGTCAACATCCGACATGCCCAAATACCATGATTCTTACATGTTATGAAACTGGCATGCTGCGAAAATGCCGACATCTTACCATCGCTCTTGTATACCGAGCTTAGGGCTTGATGGGCTTGGTAGGCTTGGTAGGCTTGGTAGGCTTGGTAGGCTTGGTAGAGCCTTAGACAGCGGGATATGTATGAAGTTCTAATAAAACCGGGCCTTGTCTCCACGTTTGTCTAAAACCCAACCTATACCACCCCGACCATTGAGTGTGTCCGATGAGGCCTATCACAGAGAGGAACTGGGATGGCTAATTGCGTGATACACGAGTCAACCACCCGATGTAACATAGACAATGCAAGGATAATCACCGCTCCAGCTAATAATGCCTGCCATCTATACTCGAAATATCCCATCAATAATCGACTGTTATTCTTTAGCTAGCGAACCCACAAACTCATAACCATGACCACCATACCAGAAATTCGACCAATGTCGGGTATAAGCCTCAACCTGGCTTATACCTTAACACGGACTAAATTGGTGAGACAGCGAGCGCCTTGCGGGAGAACTCGGAAGCCACTGATGTTTTGAGTCTGGATAGAGTAAATGGTGGAAACCAGTGGGCGGGCCGAATCGCAACTCCACATAGTACGAAGGGTAATTACGAATCGATATACCCGACATTCTCTATACCACCGAGTTTAGTATGTCGTATACTCGGTCCTAGCGGCAGGTTGGGAGCCCGGGGTTTAGGGTTACGCGGGGCTTATGTCGTCCCCGCAGTTTGAACCTATCTCTAAACTAATTTGTGCACTAACGATTGGAGACCGGCGTGGAAACCAAGATGCTCTCAATTGATAAAAAGTAAACTGTCTCTAATACCCCTCGGGGCAGGGGGCACTAGCCGGAGAAAACTTCATCCAGTGTAGCGTGGAAATAGGGTAACTTATAGCGGACATGTATGGCTAGCCGGTTACATAGCAGGGAGTGGAGCGCAAGAGAGGTACCGACATAATATAGGCTGATCAATTTACTTTTGTACCATGTTGAATTATCATTACTGCACTCTATATATTTGGCATACAGACCAAGAACCCGAGCGCCTTCACTCCAGGTGATTTATCATAGACACCTAGCTTTGTCCGTAACATTCAGATCAAGATCCAAATATTAACATGGTCACCCAGGGAGGACAATTATTTCATTTGATAGGTATTGGTGTCTTGGCGGCTGACCAGGAACTATACAAAGTATCGTCCTTCCCAGGTTTGGGCCAGTTTTGCTGAGGGTGGGCAAATGCAGGCATCTGTAGGGTATCGGCTGTTTAGTGCATGGTAGCTGTGTTACGCCCGACAAGCGGATACATATGCCAGGGCTTAGCACCAGGTCCGATTCAACCGTGCTTGATGCAGTGCCACCATACAGGGATGTTCTGTTCCAGCTAGGCAACAGGCTGTCTATTGGCGCGGCTTACAGCTTTTTGCGGTCAGCAGAGAGGATGCCGCGGAGATTTCCCATCCCCGCAGCTGGCAAAGTATGATTCGGTTCCGGTCGCCGTCTCATCTTTGGGCCTGATTTTGAGAGCTGAGGTACGGACGGTTTGCGGCGGAGGACTAAGACTAAGACATGCATGCAAAGTTTGAGGCTCCTTGTCAGTGTCGTCTGAAATCTGGGTTGGCAACCTTGTGGATGTCTTAGCTGGGTGCGGCTTGGTCTATCCCAGGGCCACCCGTCGCCCTTGTTCTTTGATGGTCGGATCGATGATGACTCTATTCTAGGTTTATAGTCAAGTATAGGTCAGTCGACCTAGACTCAGGCCCTGGTTTGATTAGGAAGGGAGAATTTAAAACATGTATTCTAGCTCCTGAGAATAATTCAACTACTGTGACCAGTCCTATACTTTTCTTGGGTATATTTGATTTAGTATCTACTCGCTTCCATCCTCACCTGCCGTAATATTTCCCGAAACTGATTTCACACTCACTATAACCTTTATAAGTACAGGATCCAGTACATACGACCATAGGGTGTGGAGAACAGGGCTTCCCGTCCGCTCAGCCGTACTTAAGCCACACGCCGGCCGGTTAGTAGTATGGTGGGTGACCACATGCGAATCCCGGCTGTTGTATGTGTTTTTCTATATCTGATTTTTTAATTCGTTGGAACTAGTGCCCTTGGCATCCCTGCGGTCAGGCTTTTAGTTACTTTCACCTTATTCGTGCTTCCAAGTTCTAATAAGATTGGCTGCTCTACTCCTCTTACTCAGTTCAATTAGGATCAAACAATGACTACATGTTCCTTCCTCCAGTCACCCGAATTGACTCCCCATTTACATATGAAAACAGTGGACTAGCAACACCCAGGATTGATCGCGCAGCCTCTTGGGCGCTTGCTGGTCGACCCAGCGGGATATCTGGATACTGCTGCTTGACCCCATCGCCACCCTTGCGACTTTCTAGCTGCTTGGCTGGAATGCCCAGCGCGACTTTGCTACCATCCGGGGCCGTGATGAATGTCCCATTTTCCTTAGCCTCTGTCAAACGGGTTTGTACCGATCCGAAAGCGATGGTGTTGGCACGGACGCCAAATGCGGGACCCCATTCTTTGGCAATAGTCCTCGTTAGGCCGACTAAGCCAGCTTTGGCAACTGAATAATTGGCCTGGCCGCTGTGGAATGAGTTAAAATTATCTGAAAGCAGGTGGTTGCAAAGGGGGTAGACACAGTAGAGTGAAAAGACGTACGCGTTGCCATGAAGCCCGCTGGTTGAGCTAATATTGATAACCACGCGGCTCTCCCCATCTTTCACTCGAAAGTATGGCGCAGCTGCCCGAACAAGTTTGAACGGGGCTGTACAGTGAATGGCTAGCATAGTGTCCCATTGTGCATCAGTGATCTACCTTGTTAGCCTTCTTCCATCTAGAGATTTGATGTCCCAGTACATCGATTCTGATTACCATGACGGCTCGAACACCTAATAGGAACGAATGGCGAAGAATGACAACGCTCACCTTATGGATAACCCCATCCCAAGTAAACCCTGCATTGTTAACAATGATGTGGATTTTTCCGTTACCAAAGTCGGCGGCCTTTTGGACTAGATTTACAATATAGTCGTCATTAAGGATATCGCCAGGTACTGCAAGAGCGTGGGCAGGCAAAATGTTGTTGATGGATTCCGCGACAGCGATCGCTCTCTCTGGTATCATTAGCAATGCTTTTGGTTTCCACATCCATTTTCAACCATGTAGCAACATACTCTCGTCTATATCAGCAATTAACACCTTTGCACCTTCTTTCGCAAACAACCTCGCCGTCTCTGCGCCAATGCCTTGTCCTCCACCTGTGATAATGGCAACAGTGTTGGCCAGAAGGCCAGCCGGGTAAGTGAGGTGTGAAGTGACTTGAGCGAGGCGTTGAGCCATTTTGAAGGGGCCTTTCTTTTTGTTTTGTCTGAGATATTGGGGGCTTAAAAAGAATTGTTGAGTTTATAGACTTAACTAGATGAAAACATATCTTTTTGGGGTGCACTATATAGTATTTTAGTTGACCAATTCCCAGCCAACGCTGTTCTACCCATAGAAGCATTTTACAACAAGGCGTGATTTGTATCAGCGAAAACAAAGGAAAGTGGTAAAGCGTAAAGCTATCTTTGGGGAATCTTTGAAAGTATTTTTAACTTTGGGGAACGAGTCGGGGAGCCGAGGGAAGAAAGGTCGGGGGTTTCGGCTCGGTTCGGTTCAAGGTTGGGGAAAGAGCTCCCTCAGTACAAAACATGCGCACTGCAGCGGAGGATTGTCTTGAACTATGCGAACGACCATTGATAACTTCTTAATCATAGGCCAATGGTTGAATGAAGAAAGAAAGACGCAAATTTAGGGTTTTAGAGTTGGTGTACCTTTTTTATATATTCTAGATATGCAGGAAGACTTGACGTTTGGAAATTTGATACGAAAACCGTAAAACCAATAAATATCCAAGAAAGAGAAACAAGCCTCTAAGCAAATTGAGATTGTTGCACTGGTACCGCTGACCTTTAGGGAACTGATAGGTCACAAAGGAGGCCCAAATTCTTCATGCAATGAATCACGTATCAACTAGACTGAGTTCTACTTATAGCCTGTAACTCGCCGGCATTATACGAGGCAGAGAGAAGCTTCTCCAATTGACCAGGGGCCCGGCGAGTATTATCCTTCGACCAATATATAGATTTTGGGGGCTTCCAAGCAATGATAACTACCCAACAAGACTTCTGTCTTGTTAAAATTCTGTCTTATTTTGCTTTCGATATGATTACTTTCGATCATGGAATAATACATTCTATGGTTCCACATAGCTCTTGTAGCCGTATCTGATGCCCTTGAGATAAGGCTAACGTGTTCAAGCACATCAAATACGGGCAGAGAGCCGTGCGGCGGTGTCTGCAAAAACATGGTCGTCACGATTCACCTTGCTGCGGACCCGATCGATCTGTTCAGGAGTGATATACCTCGCTTCAACTGCTGGGTTGTAACCCGCGTGAGGAGACATTCTTTTGACATCTTCATCGGAAAAGCGTTCAGCCTTTCCTCCATCCATTCGTTTATAAACAGTCACAACAACAGCACCACCAAGCCCCAGATTGTGTTGTAGGGCAATGTCAGCTTTGTCAACCAGACGATTGTTTGCCCAGCCGCGTAACTGCCATACCAGCTCCGCGCACTGCGCCAGCCCAGTCGCCCCGAGAGGGTGGCCCTTTGAGATCAACCCCCCTGATGGATTGATTACAGGCCCCTTGCCACCGTAGGTGATGTCTCCGCGGCGCACCATTTCGTGCGCCTTTCCGGTGCCACTGAAACCTATTGCGTCTAGAAGAACCATCTCGTTGGCGGAAAAGCAGTCGTGGAGCTCGCACACTTTGACATCTTGGGGTGTGAGACGCGCTTCGTTCAGTGCGGCCTTGACGGCCCTTTGCGTCATCTGAAAGCCCACAAGATCCATGGCACTGCCGGAGTATGTGGAGACAGGGTCGGTCTGCATTGCCTGGCCGGCTATCGAAACTACTTGCGACTTCAAATGCGGCCTAGCCTCGAGAAATCTCTCGGAAACCAGCACCGCCGCCGCAGCACCTGTACTTGTGGGACTGCACTGCAGTTTGGTCAATGGACCATGAATCTGTGTCGAGTTCATAATCCCCTCTAGGGTATATTCCGTGCGGAACTGAGCATATGGGTTGCGTGTGGAGTGTTCATGCGAGATGCGCGCGATTTCAGCGAAGTCTTCATTCCGGGCACCGTACCTACGCTAGGCATTAGCCAATCATGCCACATGATCAAACAGGGAAAACGTCGACGAACCTTCTCATATACTCGGTACCAGCGTTGCCAAAAAACTGGGCATTCCGTGGACTGGAGTGCTTTCCGAATTCCTTCTCCATGAGCGATTGCAACGGGCCAACAGGGTGGGGGCGGTCATCCCAGACACTCTTGATTGAACCGGGGCGCATCTGTTCGAAACCGACAACCAGGACACAGTCCGCAGCCCCACGTTGAATCAGTGTTCGGGCGAGGAAAAGTCCCGTGGAACCTGTGGCGCATGCATTGTTCGTATTGAAAATCGGAATGGATGTCATCCCGAACTGGTAGAAGACGCGCTGACCGTAGCAGGAGTCGCCGTGGCAGTAGCAGGCGATTCCAGTCTGAACATCATCGTACGTGATCTGCGCGTCAAGCATAGCCTTGACACCTGCTTCAAAGCCCAGCTCGGGGTAGTGTCTCGCCTCCCGTGGTGACAGAAACTGGGTCATGCCCACCCCTAGGACGAATGTTTTATTATTGCTGGAATTCATTTTTGGCGAGACTGGTTGAACCTGATGTGACTTGGGCTGTTGAACCAAATCACGACGTCACAGCGCATTGTATTTATAATTGACAATGTGGGCAGTGTGTAATTGTCACAGGTACTTTCTCCGAGCATGTACCAGAGGCCCGAGGCTATTCGGAATGACCTAGGTCTATAGGTCAACAACACACAGGCGTAACCTCTCAGTTGGAATTCTTTGGGGTACTTCCCCGTCGGCAGCGGGGAGAGGGGGTGGAAGATCATCTCCGCTATTTGTGTTTCACTTGTTTCTTTTTTCCCTTTGAGACTTGGCTTTGGGGTAAACCCCGCGAACTACCAGTATTGCAAACCGAGGCGACCCACTCTTGGGGAAATGCCGATCTTGCTTCCAAGTATAGTGTAGATCTGGCTCCTCTTCGCAAGCTAACTAGTATCTCATATATAGGCACGTACTGCCTTTGGTTTCAAAGTGCCTGCTTCGACCATTTGAATCCAGCCCTTTGTTTTGAATTCTATTGTTGAAATCCGTTGACTGCACCGTGATGTCTCCCACTAGTGCTGCGTGCTGTTCGTAGGTCAATTGCTTCTCGGTCGTTTAGAGTGAAATGTATATTGATCGCCTCAGCATCCCCCCCGTTATTCCTACAGGATACCAAGCCAAAGGGGAATTCAAATCTATCGATGGTTTAAAGACATGTAAGCATCTGAATGCTGTCTATTGACGACGGACATGCTTTTGCTGACCTTCAAAGACATCACCGGTCCCAAGTCGGCCACAAAGGCAATTTTGGTTATCTATGGTAAACAAGCGCCCCTGTATCGCGTGGTGACTCGGTTCCATCCTAATTCTCGGCAGATATCTTCGGATTCTTTGAGCAGACAATTCAAGGTAGTGATATCTTATCGGATTCAGACGAACAAAAATACCGTGTGTTCATGCCCGACTTTTTCGAGGGCGAACCAGCCGATATCACCTGGTTTCCACCAACATGCACTAAGCACGAGAAGAATCTTGAGACTTTCTTCCAGACGAAGGCCACACCCGAAAAGGCTCTAGCGAGGCTACCAGGAATTGTAGCTGCGGCAAATAAATTGGCCGCGAGTGGAGAGTTCGAGTCTTGGTCCATTCTGGGGTACTGCTGGGGAGGAAAGATGGCTTGTCTGGCTTCCGGCCAAGGAAGTCCATTCAAGGCTGCCATTCAGTGCCATCCAGCCATGCTGGCACCAGAAGATGCAAGATCGGTGACTGTGCCGATGGCAGTTCTCGCTTCGAAGGACGAAGACGGGAAGGACGTGCAGTCTTTCTGCAACAACCTGCGGGTACCTAATTATGTAGAGACATTTTCCACACAGATCCACGGTTGGATGGCCGCCAGATCAGATTTGCAGGATATCGAGGTCCGCAGGAAGTATGAGCAGGGGTATGAGACCGTTTTGAAGTTCTGTCGTAAATATGCATAATGAGTACCGTGAGATACAAAGGAATAGAGAATGACTAGAAGTGTTTTAGCGCCGGAGTGTGTCGCAAGATAAACAGTGTCTGTAGTCGTTCTTAATTACTAGAGAAGATGAAGCAGAAGGATCAACGGTGACGTTAATCTCGGCCAACCCCGCAATTGGTGAATGGAATCCAGTCAGTAACCGAGGCCGATCCCCGCCAGTAAGTTTAAACACTCCCCAGGTTTTGTGATTCATTGGTTTCTCTCTTCCCTGTTTACCCCCTCCGCTTTGACTCCAAATGTCTTTTGTTCCGCTAAGTTCCCCAAATGAAACGGATACTCCTCGAGCGGCAGATGTAGGCGGCCGCACTCCCGGAAGAGCAAAACGATTCACTTGTGGTATCTGCCAGCACCAATTTAGCAGAAAAGAGCACCTGCAACGTCATAGAAATATTCGTGAGTCAATTCTATACCAACGATATCCATAACGTCAAGCTTCTAATTCTCGCCAGACTACGGGCATAAACCTTATCGTTGCACCCTGTGCACCTATGCTTGCCGTCGAAAGTAATACATCCGAAGCTACCACGGAGTATCTTCGTGACAAAATTGTATATTAACCCTAACATCTTGCTAGGGACCTGCTGAGACGACACCGTAATATCTCGCACAATGGTTTAACCGTTGAGAACGATCCACCTTTAGGATCCACGATACCATTGGTCCATGACAATGGTGAGATATCCTTACACATATGATGCGCTGGTTGGGATAAGATAGCTGAAGCCTCCAATGGTAGAATTGCATAGGACTGAGGATACGCGATCTCCAGTATCTATCACTGAACCCAATGGGCAGCAGACAGACCAAAGGACAAGGCCTGGCCCCTTACCACCGGCAAATGTGGACGATAGTGCTCTAGAGTATGTTGAAGGAAATACCTATCTCGGTCAGGACTTTGCGAACAATGCCACCTTATTATTTTCACCTCACTTGCCGTCGCTTGAGCGGGATCCCAGCACCACTACTTCGGACGGAGAGTCAAACAGGCCCCCCGCACTTCCGCGTGCATGCCCAACGACTGAATGTAATACAACATGGGACAGAAGTTATGAGCGCCAGCATCAACCATTAAGTCTCGCAGACAGGATGTCGCGCATGTGGTCACCGCCAGCCGAAACCCATCGCAACGATGCACACACAGCGACATTTCCGAAGATCAGCGATGAGGATTGGCTCTGGCTGGCTGACCAACTACCAGAACTTGATGTTCCTCAGCATGCAAAAAGTGCGAGGTACGAGCTGCCTTCTCGAACTGCACTGTCACGGTATCTGCACAGATTCTTGACCGACTTTCATCCACATTATCCGATCGTCCACTCGCAGACCTTATCGATCAGAAACATGGCACCCGAACTAACATTAGCAATGGCCACGGTGGGCTGTCAGTATTGCCTCGAGTCTCGTGAGGGTCACAGGATGTTCGACCTTACTCGGGATGTTATCTTGGAGAAACTCGATCGCCGTGAAATGAGGTGCAATACTAGATACAGAGGGAGGGGGGCGCCAGTGCAGGTCTCAGAAGATCAAGTGCCGAGGGAACAGTTATTCTTCGGCCCTCAAAATCACACACTGGAGCCAAAGATGTGCCAGGACTGCCATGCCTATCCTTTGATTGAAACCATGCAGGCCCTCTTTTATCTCATGGTGGTGGCATTATTGGGCGAAGCAAATCAAAGGCGCTCGAGAGATATCGCAACTATCCAGAGCCTTCTTGCCCCCTTAATGCAACAGCAAGGGCTATCTGAACATGTTTGTAGTCTATGCTCGTGGGAGAGTTGGTTACGCCATGAGAGCGCCAGGCGTACCAAGCTGTCGATCTTTTGCATTTTTGTCCTCCGTTCCATATCCACAAATGTACCATCAGCAACACTGCTCGCAGATATTCGGCTTCAACTACCATGTCAAGCAGAGGAATGGCAAGCACCGAATGCTGAGAGCTGGGAAATGATCCACCGAGAGTCTGAAAGACCTCTTATGTTTCATGATCACTTCGGGCTCTTATTCCGCTCAGATACAGAGATTCCCGCTTGCTCCGCGTTAGGAGGTCACGTCATGATACACGCTATTCTGCAACACATTTTCTACCTGCATCAAGTCACGCAAATCAATGACCTGGGAGGCCAAGCCTCTGTAGAGCAACTCCTCTCAGTTCAACGAGCCCTAAAGCGGTGGAGATCCAGCTGTGAGCAAGATACAGGGTCGTCACTCAATACTATCGTCCAGAGTGAGCCGATTGTCGCCAACTCGGTGGTAAGAAGTGGACTAATGCGTCTGGACAAACACCAACTTACTTAATTCCATCTAGGCTTTGTATCGCCTCGCATATATCCGACTACTCGTCAACATTGGGCCCGCAAGGTCCCTGATCGAGCAGGATGAAACAATAATTATTGATCGTCTACAACGACTTCCTCGTCTATCCAGGAACCCTTTATTGACGATGGCGGCTCGGCAAGCGGTCTGCTCCCCTTTTCCAAACCCTGTCTTTCATGACATTATTTATTCTACATCTCGATCTCCGCATGTGGCATCTCCTTCGAGGCATATGAAACAAGCTAACTCGACTACCCTAGATGGCTGCACTTCTCCCTCCTTTGGAACAAGGAATCTTCCTCATTGGCCAGGAACGCAACTGGTCGGTGGTCCATGCTATCTGTTCAGTAGAATACACGTATATATTGAGCGAATTCCTACGTGTCACAGCCGGGGAGGTGAGTCCGCCGCTGGATACCGATGAGTACGATGTTCTTGCCGGGATACAAGAGCTCCTGATGGAGTTTGAGATATGCTTGCCTAACGGAGACGTTGCCGGGTTCCATAATGCACCGGGGTTCTTAGCTGGAAGGGTAGCTCTTGCATGGGCGACCATCCTCCAAAGCGTGCGGACGTGGAAGGTTGTCGATTTGGTTCGGCGTGTCCTTCTCAAAATGGCAGAGTCGATAGAGATGGGGGGGTTATGACCACATTAGATTACACCGAGGGCAAACTTGGAGAGGATTTCCATGACGATGCACAATTCGGAATTGTTCTTGATTCTCACTCCCCTTTGCCCTCCGTTAATGCACGCAATTCCTGACCCTCCATGTTGGCGGGCAGCAGAGAACAGGCCGAAAGCTTTCACAGGGTATATATAAACAGCGGTGATTTTTCACCCATGGCCATCAGCTCGGCACCCGTATGCTGCCGCTTGATTTCGTCTTCCGACACACGTGCTCTCTTTTTGTTTTGAAGATAGAAATGCAAATCCAACACCGCAGCCACGATCAAGCTTGTACCCGCTAGAGCCACAGACAAGCCAAATCCTGTATGATACGCCGGACCCTCCTCATCGATATACATAAAGCTTCCAATGATGCCTCCAATATTTCCGACGCATATGTTAAAAGCTAACCCGATTGACCGTTGGCTTGACGATGGTAGATTGCTGGATGACCACGACGATACCGCCGGGTGGGTGGGGTAGAGACCTAAGCACACGAAGATCATCGAGAAGAGGGCCAGGCCGCTATTCTCACCGAGCTTGCCATCGAGGGACAGAATAATGCTATATCCGACTGTCACCAGGGCAAGGGGGGTTACGACAAACGGCATGCGCCAGTGAAAGCGGTCGGAAAGTAGAGAGAAGCATACGGCGGAAATGGCGCCGACAACATAGGGTGGTACCGTCATGAACTGTGCGTTGGTGTTGCTGTACCCCATAGCCTTGGTTATCGTGGGAAGTGTAAACTTCGTACCTATGGAGAATGTTCTCAATATCCCCTATGTGCGAATTTTCTTGTATGAAATTCTCCAAGGAAACGACGAACCGTATGAGCAAGCCGTCTGGCATAGAAGAATGTACCCAAAGCCATACATCTTCCAGTTAGTGAGAACGGCAAACAGGTCTTTCAGCCGGTTCTGTTTGTTATCGACCTCTTGGTCTGTCTCTTCAAATGCGCCTCCATCTTTGATAAACAGCTGCAGCTCAAGATACCTGATCTCATCCGCATCCAGCCATCTCGACGACATTCCCGGGGTATCAATCAGGAGGAAGAATGAAGCAACCCCTACCACGACGGTTGCAAGTCCCTCGAGTATGAAGATCCACCGCCAGCCCTCATATCCCCCTGCACCATCCATTTTCGCAATCCCAGCGGCGAGTACCCCTGAGAAGGCACCCGAAAGTGCACTTGCACAATAGAAACAGGCTAATCGGGTGGTGAGGTCTCGTGGCATGTACCAAAAGGAGCACAAGTAAACTGCCCCGGGGAAAAATCCGGATCTGCCGATTGGCAAAATGCGTCAGTATAATGATCATCCTTGTTGGAGGACACAGCAAAGAATTGGACATCCCCAAAGCGGAGCAAACCAAGCCTAGCATACTCGAGGTGCTAGTACCTATCAAACCACAGAAGGCAACCTAGGCCCGGTATTCTAGGTAATCTGCTCGTGTAGCTTAGGGTATGCCCAGCTTTTGCTGTGCCACTGTGTGACTGGGTATCAAAACGCACTCAAAAACTCCAAGAAAGATCCGGGTAGCCACTAAGCCTGCGAAGTTCTGCACGACTCCAGTCAAAGTCATAACAGTACCCCAGGTAACTATCAGAACTCCTAGATAGGTACTCGGTCTCCGGAGGCGTTTGAGGAACATATTACTTGGAATCTCTGAGTTGATTAGCTGCTTGGCTGTGCAGAGATTGAACACAAGACCTACCCAGTAAAATATATGGGATGAAGAAGACACTGAGTGCCACGTTCCACTCAAGTCCATCCATCCTGAGATCTTCCACGAGTCCTTCGATCTTTGCGTTGCCGATATTGGCGCGGTCGAGATGAGATAGAAGGTACAGCAAAGCCAGCACGGGGATCAAGCGAACGTCAATCTAATGAATTAGCCGACGATCACTTCATGAATGTATGTGCACCCCGTATTCCAACCTTGCGTGTGATCTTTTTCCTGTCCTCTGCGGAGAAGCTCATGTAGAATTGTTCATCGGCTGGATCCAGCCCGAGAACACGGATGTTCTCTATAGTGACGATCCTGGGGACGCTCTCCTGATGAATGCACTCGAGTTCCTTCTCATCTCCGGCGGTCATGAGACTGTCATTCGTTCTTATTGTGTCCGACATATTGCAAACTTGAACGAGAGTAAAGATGAAAGATGGCAGTTTTGTAGTCGTGGGCACCCTGCTTCTTCGAGTGGCTCGGCTACAGATATTTATAGGGCTTTTCTGAGGTGGCGATCTAAGATTGGGGAAACACTCAATACAGTGCCGCAATTCTTTTACTTTATTCGGCTCTATAATTGCAGCTTGGTCAAACTATTTGTGTGCACAGACTTGAGGGTCCACTTTGAGCGGCAATCAGATTGCGGGGGAGTGTGATGGCTCATGATTAGCTAGACAATATTGATGCACGGATATATATGTACGGAACCTTACTGGAATAGTACATTGTGGGTCAAAAGAACAGAATGACATTTCCCCAACGACCCACATTGGGGAAGGAAATTGCGGGGGAATACGTTTAAGCGAACTGACGCGACGGTCCCTCTCGGTAGTTCATTCTTTCCCTTCAAAGCTTCAGACCGGGTCACTCTAAGGATTAACGTGTTGGATGATATAGTTCGAATCATGGGCCCTCTCATCCATCAGTGCGGTTATTGCTTAACCAACAATATCTGTTGCAGGGAAACCACGGAACATGATTGCCGTACATGTCAAGGATGGGGTGTTCAATGTCCCCCAGTGGACAAATTCACCCAGTAAGTGGATAATCATTTAAGGTCCATTGACGGGAGAACGGAATGTGCATTTTGACACTAAGTAAAAGATCTAAAAAGACGACCTCCCATGACTTGATTCCCCAAAACTATTGGTCCCTGTTTGCAGGTACGGGCAGTGTTTGAGATGACTTCGCGGCCGCAAACCCCTGTCCAAGACTAACAGTGATAAGCTAGTGGTGAGATGCAGGATGCCCAGATCGGCTTCCAAGCACCTTTTCCATATCCCGTCCCTTGGATGAGGCCATTGGACAACATCCTCACTACAGCCGAGCAAGTACTTGGGGTAAAGGTCCTGGACCCTTTGCAATGTCCTGATTTGCGTCCAGCCTACACGACAGAGATTCCAGATTCTATTCCATCAGAAGACATGGAATATCTGGTGGGAAAAGGGGTGTTTGATGTCCCGAACTTGGCTCTTCGCAATGAGCTGCTGGTGACGTTTGTGCACAACGTTCATCCTTACATGCCATTGTTAGATATCAATCCATTCGTCGAGGCCATTGAAAGCAATGGCAAACGGGGCAAGGTTAGTCTATTACTATTCCACGCGGTCATGTTCTCGAGTGCTGCTTTCATCGAGCCTGGGAATCGAGACTCCGACTGGCTTGTTTCCCGAAAGCAATCTCGACAGGGGTTCTACGAAAAAGCCAAGGTACCGAGCCAACCCTCTCTTGCCCCAACCCTATCTCATTCTTCTACCGTAGATTCTATATAATTTCGATATAGAGACAGATCGAATTGTCTTGATTCAGGCAGCACTGCTTCTCACATATTGGCACGAAGCCCCGGACGACCCGAAAGACGCCCGCTATTGGCTCGAAATTGGACTATCTTGCGCGGTGTCAATCGGTCTGAATTACGAACCGGATCCGACACTCCCACCGGCGATGCAGCGCTTGCGTAGGCGATTATGGTGGTGTCTATACACGCGTGACCAACTGGTTGCATTCACCTTGCGACAAGCTCCGATGATCAGGGGCGATATCCAGAATCTGTCATTACTTACACTCAACGACTTTGAGTTCCTCAATCCTATCCGCTCGGGGATTGACGTTACTAACCATCTCGGCTTCAAAATGGCTCGAAGCACTCACTATCAAAAACAGTGGTCGCAGATCTTCATCGAGAAGACGAAATTTTGTATCATCGTCAGCCAAGTACTCTCGGTGGATGGCTCCAACATAAGTGCCGGATGCGACCCACTGAAAACCTGTGATATGAGACTCGACCGCTGGAATGAGGCCCTTCCGACAGGAGTTCAATACCAACCACCGACATATCTAGAGATCTCAGAGGCGGAAAGGTCCCTCCTGGCATACCAAGCATGGCTTAGGATTCTCTTTTTGGCGGCGAAAAGTCTCCTGTGCCGCCTCCAAAGGCCCCAAAGGGAAGGGATAATCTCGAAAAGAACGCACCTACCGGATTTCCCCGATGTTAAGACCCAAGATACCATCCAAGGTATCACAAATATCACTGAGAGCCTGGACAGCACCGATTCGATCCAATATCTACCGACCACAGCAGTAGCCTTGCTGCTACCGGTTATTACAGTCCATGTTTTCAACATTCGATCGGGAAAGATGGATCTGTGGACGGCCGGGTTTCGCTCCTTCCATTGTTGCCTGAAAGTACTGAAAAGGATGGGGAAAATATATATTATCGCAGAGACTGTCGCTCACTTCCTGGAGTTTGCGATCTGCGGCGATACTTTGGGACATAATGTGGTGGAGATATGGCCTAGAGCACCATGGCTGTTCGAGAAAGTCTTGACAAATAACGAGTTACGGTGCCTTCACCGCACACTCGGTTATGAATAGTATCAAGGGGCTGTGCTGCTAAAAAAGCGTTCTTTCAAGAGCCAGCCTTTTCATCGGCCGTGGGAAAAGATTATGACTTGAACAAGCACAAGTAGTAAATGCTCACGCGGGAGTTACCTGGGTATTGATGCGCAGCAGTAATCGCCAAAATGGAATATATCACAGATTCTTTGATCCAGAAGCCACGACACTGATAAATAAGTGTGGATTGAAATCAGAAATCAGATATATATATCGTATAAGTGGTGCCGCAAAAAGTTGTTGACTATGTGTTGTTTCCGTGGGCCGTTTGGAAAATTTCTCCAAAAATGTAAATAGGCAACCTCGGAATCCCCAACTCATGATATTCACCGGTCATGATTCTTTTTACAACTATTAGGAGAGCCTATGAGTCCGTGACAGATGGTATCCCGACCGTACCAGCCTAAATCCGGGCCCTCAAACTCTTTCTCCACATTTCCACATCCGGATCTGTCTGATAGTTCTTGTGAAAGAACCGCGGCCCCAGAATCTTCTTTTGCACTTTGCCAGTCGCTGATTTCGGGAGCTCTCCGCTGAGGATACGCAATAGTGTGGGAATCTTGTACCCTGCCAAACGACTGCGAAGATCGGCCCTCAAGGTATCTAACGTCAGTCTCTTCTCCCGGTGCTTGGCAGATAGACAGACGACAGCAGCCACCCTTTCTCCAAATTCATCGTCTGGGACTCCTACCACCATTACCTCGAAGATATACTCTAAACCCAGTATCTCTCGCTCGATGTCGAGCGCAGATATTTTGTAGCCACCGGACTTGATAATATCGACTGATGCACGACCCAAAATCGAGTAGTACATACCCTCCTTGCGGACCACGTCCCCGGTTTGGAAATAGCCCTCAGGGTCATGTGAGTTTGCCGTTTCTTGTTCGTCGAAGAGGTATCTTCTTTACCGTTAGATCAGGTCAAACGGACACAGAATCGGAACAGGGAGATGTACTTGGAGAACATGAAGGGCCCTTTCACCATCAGTAAGCCCTCGTCAGAGACCTTGGCTGATACGCCAGGCTCGAGCCGCCCGACACTGTTTGCGGGTGTGCCCTCTGGATCAAGATCGACCTTGAAGATTGACCCAATCTCAGTGGCACCATAGCGAGTTAGAATAGGCTTTCCGTCCATTAATTCTGTCCAAAATTGTTGGACGGGGTCGGGTAACGCAGACGTCCCACAGAGGAGGATGCGGAGCTTCCGAGCCCCTTCGACATAGGCCGCTTGCTCCTGGGGAGGGAGTAAGGCGATTACGTCTTCGAAATGCTGCTTTAGTCGTGAGTACAGCGTGGGGACACCGGAGAACACGGTAAGGCCGCCTTGACGCCATCGATCCCATGTCCAAGAGGCATCAAAACTACCGCCGCTGAACTCAACACATGCACCAGAGACCAGATACGGAAGCAGAGTGATGCCGATGCCGGTGGCGTGATGCACGGGGAGCGAGTGCTGCACCAGGTCTTGACTAGTGATCCCATAGTGATCTGCTATTAATTCTGCGTTCTCCAAGAGCTGTCCACGTCGCTGGACTACGCCCTTGGGGGGACCCGTAGTACCAGAAGTGAAAATTACCAAGCCCGCTTGATTGGGGTTTGGGAATTGGCTGGCAGAGAGAACAATATCCTCGGCGGAGAGATCGGGCGAGTTGAGGTTCGCGGTGATTGACAGCTGCGGAATTTGAGGATCGGATTCAGACAGGGGAAGTTTGGCTGTTGGTAGGGCTAGGTTCGAGGTACCATTCACTAGAATGGCAACACATCTCGCCTTACGTAGGTAGTAGGATCTTTCTGACGACGGCAAATTGACGGCTTTATTTTGTTGTCTAATGTTAGTCTGATTCATATGCGATATCACGAGACACACTTACCAATTGGGACCACAGCTGCGCCGCAGGACAAAATCGCAAAGAACCCAACAGTGTACGCGTACGATCCGGGTGCAATGAGGGCGATGTAGGTTTCGGTGTCTTGCTCGAGTTGACGCAGAATCTTGACATCCAATATATCAAGCAGTGCTTTACGTACGCTCAACACATCCGATAGTAGCTGCAGGTACGTTTTCTCTATGCCGCCACGTATGTCCCGTATTGCGATTAGAGGAGGATAGCGGTTGGCTAGTCGTAGAAGTTTATGAAAAAGGGGTGTATTTGGGAGTACGTTATCTCCACGATGAGGAGGGACAAAGGATGTTCTGTCCCCGGACATTGCCATTGTTGCTGCAAATCGAATTGAGAAGGTTGTCGCTTTGCTTTGCTTTAGCCTTAGCTTGATCCCGACTAAATGATTAAAATCAGCCAGAAGCAAGCTTATGAATCCGTATCTACTTACTGCTATTTCCCCAATTCAGCCCCCCCTCCGGGCCCCGAGGTTTCCCCAACTCCTTTCCCCAACCTCGGCCAGATCATTCCCTGATGTAGAACCAGGCAATGTATAACATCCGATCCTAATAAGTCTCAAGAAACTGCCAATATTCGAAGCTCCTATACCAACAATCTTTGAAGTGTTTCTCATTGACGCTTTTTTGTGAGCTGGTTTTGAATGAATTTTTTATCGACCGTTTTGTGAGACAATCCTACACTTTGCTCGGCATCATGACTGGCTTTCCGGATAATCTGAAACCCAGTGAGCCAAATGGCCCCAGCATCTTGGAAAGAGAAAGAAAGAACTCTCAGATTTCTGTGACGGAAATAGCGAACCATCTTTATGCGCATAATGGGTTCCTTAAGCGACAATCTCGGGTGCTTTCTCTCCTTCTGAAGGAGCCTCTATTCAGCAAGACACAACAGGCACAGTTATCACGCATCGATCGCTTCAAACTGGCCGTTGCGCGGGGGAAACTGATCCGTCGGCTTCAAGATGTTCATCAATGGAGCTTGGAGGACTACAAAATGGCCCATTACCTTGTGGATGAACCGACTCCGTATCACCTGCACATGCAGATGTTCCGCACGACCATCTTGGAACAAGCCAGCGATGAGCAGAAGGATTTCTGGCTGCCTAAGATTGAGAGTTGGGATATCATTGGCGCGTACGCACAGACGGAGCTAGGTCATGGCAGTAATGTTCAAGGGATAGAGCTCCAAGCTCGTTGGGACATGAAGGAGGGGGAGTTTGTGCTTCATAGTCCCACCCTGACTGCCAGTAAGTGGTGGAATGGTACTCTCGGCCGGATGGCCAACCACGCGGTTGTCATGGCCAGGTTACTTCTACCGCAGCCCGCTGGCGATTACGTTTCCCACGGCCCGCAGGCGTTCATCGTTCAGGTCAGGGATCTCAAAACCCACCTTCCCTTGGATGGTGTGATAATCGGAGACATTGGACCCAAGTACGGGTACAATACGATGGACAATGCATACATGCTGTTTAACAGTTTTCGGTGAGGTTATGACCCTGTTAAAACGCCTTATTCCGCAGAACGGTTTACCCTAACTCAGCTCTTTAGAATCCCTCACTCCGCCTTGCTGTCGCGTTATGCGCATCTCAATCCTGAGACGGGCGTGTTTACCAAGCCAGAGAAGCCGGTAGCGGTGTATGGATCAATGACGAACGTCCGAGCCAATATAGTTCACGATGCGGGGTTGGCGTTAGCCCGGGCTGTCACGGTAGCGGTTCGTTATACAGCGATCCGACGACAGTTCCGAGACCGTGACTCGTTAGATCCCGATAGTGGTGAGCTCGCCGTCCTCGATTATCCGACGGTGCAGATCCGAATCCTACCGCTTCTGGCTGCCGCATTTGCACTCCACTATACAGGACGTGCTATGTACGAGAGCTATCATCGAGCGCGCCATGATATTGAACAAGGAAACTTCCAGGGTTTGGCTCATATGCACAGTCTCTCATCGGGGCTGAAGAGCCTGTGCACCACAATGACGGCAGATGGCATCGAGGTTTGTCGTCGGTCGATGGGAGGCCATGGGTTTGGTGGAGGGAGTGGTCTCATCCAGCTTAACAACGACTATCTGGCAAAACCCACGGTCGAGGGTGATAACTGGATGATCACACAGCAATCTGCCTCTCACCTAATTAAGCAAATGAGGTTTGCTGTCGGGACCTTGAACAGCCCGCCCGCCGACGAGACGGATGCTGGTTTCAAATATTTCATCAAGCATCGTACCGTGGCGAGAACCTTCGATATCTTGGGAAATGATGAAGATATCTGCGCGAGCTTTCAATGGAAGGCAAGCTACCAGGTATGTTGAAATGAACGGAACGTTGGGCCCATGGCCGTCACTCACAAAATTAGGCCTACGAGGTATACCACGAGAGGGTAGTCAAAAATAGCCGATGGAACAATATCCTACTCCAGCTTCACCAGCTCAGCCAATGTATGTTCTACCTTTTCAACATCCTTACGTCTGAGATACTGGTATGCTTTGATTCGTGCGGAAGCTGATAATTGAACAGCCCATGCGCAACTTTTCATGGTCAAAACCTTCTTTGACTCTTTGAACTCATGTCCCGATATGTCGCCATTAACAAAGGAAGTGCTTCTAGACCTTTTCCGTCTCTTGGCCCTGACGATAATAAAATCTGAGAGTTACGACTGTAAGCAACCCTGACATCATATCTATATCCGCAATTGAAGAACTAACAGCTGCTTCAGTCCTTCGCTCTGGTGCAGCCTCCCCAGTCTGTCTCGACGCCTTACCTGCCAAGATACAGTTCCTGATGGCCCAGATTCGGCCTCATGCGGTTAACCTCGTTGATTCTTGGATGATACCTGATTATCTCCTGGATAGGTAAGTCCTCTGTACCTCTTGTCGGACTGTTTGCTGACCGATATAGCGCATTGGGCCGTTCTGATGGCCAGGTGTACGAAGATTTATTCCATCGTGCTCACAGGCTGAACCCGTTAAACAAACTAACATTTAACCCTAACTACCTGGACGACGAGATTGTCAAGGGTACTGGAGAAAATGCGCTAGGCATTCTATCCAAGATGTGATTTTGAAGGAATTAGACACGAAGCAAAGTTGTTCCCTTCCTCTGCGGAGGATTGCCAGGCTTAGAGATTGAATTTAATCAATAGCATATTTATACACTTTGAAATGCCGATTGTGGTGCATAGTAAACTATGTAAATATTTAATAGATTGTGCACCTATAGAGGACGGCCACGGGGGTGTAGATGAACGCAGGTCGGTTGTTCTATGGATCAACTTGAAAGTAGATCATAGATCAGTTCATTTCCGATTTTGTGATTGTAATAATGAGGGGAAAGCAGATGATGAATGCATTTTACTCCAGAAATGGACAGTTGGGTTAGCTACGGCTTGTGTCATCTCCGTGGCTACACACGATGCCATTACCTCGGTTACGACAACCGTAGAAGGCTGTCTAATGTTTCTCTGGTTTGAAAATACACTCAAGTGCTCCTGCATACGCAGCTCAGCTTGCATGAGTTGGAGATTCCTGGGGGGGCCAACATTGGGGAGTAGAAACTTTGGGGTAATCTTTGGGGAAGACCATGGGGACTACTTATAGGCAGCCCCACCACATCTCAACCAACCCTATATTAATCCTCACTCCTTCTTCCATCAATTACTAAACCATCTCTATTCACGAACATGGAAAACAATCAGGAACTCAAGCATTTACATGACACCCTATTCTCCGAGGGCCTTGAGGTCCGCCGCGCGGTCGTCGGAGACCAATACGTTGATAAAGCTTTGGAGAACGGATCCAGCGAATTTGCTCGCCCCGGCCAGGCGCTGGTGACGGAGTGGTGCTGGGGCCATATTTGGACGAGACCTGGTCTTGAAAGGAAGCAGCGGAGTCTTCTCAGTAAGCACATATATCAAAACAGGTCTAGAGCCTTCGCTAATTACTGTGACGCGTACAGATATAGGCATGCTGATTGCATTAAAATCGTGGCCAGAGCTAGGCATTCATACGCGGGGCGCAATCAATAACGGTTTGACCGAGAAAGAGATTAGTGAGGCTGTGCTGCAAGCGACTATCTATTGTGGTGTGCCGGCTGGGGTTGAGGCGATGAAAGTAACGGAAAAGGCTATATTGGAGATGATCGAGAAGGGGGAATATACACGGTCATGATCGTGTATTGGATGTTGAGAGAAAGATTATGCTAGACTGGATCCCGTATTCGGAGTTTGCCTATATCAATTCACCTACTTGTTGCCAGTCCCAAGTTTCTCTCGCTCTCTCATTCATGCGACCCTTTTGCTTGCCCATGCCAGAGAAGTATACTTGGATAGCTCCTTCAATTTATCTTGCCAAACAGATTCCGGTGTGGTGTTGAATTACAATACGATCTACAAATTATCACCGTACCAATTCGGACAGGACCCCAATCAGCCGCCAATAAAACTCGCATTTCTGGCTAGTTGCACATAATCGTGCTAGGTCGGTCTTGGGCGCCCGTGGTATAATAACAGTGAAGTTGTTTGACTAACTCCTCATATGATTGCAATGGTTGCTACACTGACTATACAGCTAATTAACCTCCAAGTCTCTCCTTCCACCCTTCATCCCCGCCAATAAACCTAAATACAACCCTCGAGTCTCGATCCCGACATTTCGGATCCTCCGCCGCAGCCGTATACGTCTCGAGCCCCTTCTCCCCAAGCACCAAGTTCGCACCCACGTCCTTCGCCAACTCCACTGCGAGCCCAAAGTCCTTCTTCATCAACTGTACCTTGAATCCACCCTCATATCCCTTGCTTGAGGGTGCCTTGGCCACAACTCCAGGACAAGGATTATAATCTGCACAGACCGCATTCGCCGCAGTCCCAGCACCAATGACATTGTTGAGTACGCGTGGGTCAAGGCCAGCACGGATCCCCATGTTCAGGGCCTCGGAACTCGCGATCGCAATTAGGCCAGAGAGGTAATTGTTGCACAGCTTCGCAGCAAGGCCGGATGTTGGACCGCCGCAGGGGATGACCTTAGTTCCCATCAGACACAGCAATTCACTTATACGCGGGAGGTTCGGGTCGTCTGTCGCGCAGCCGAGGAAGAACGCGATGGTGCCGGCTTTCGCGCCGAGGGTGCCGCCGCTGACTGGGGCGTCGTAGAAAGAGGTCGTTGCGTGGTGAGCTGTTATATGGTTCTTGATGCTGAGGCTTGTGGCGATGTCGATTGTTGAGCAGTCGATGAGGATTTTGCCGTGGAGGGGTGCCGCTGCAACGCCAGTCTCCGGGGCAAGGTATACGCAATGGGCATGTTCTCCTTCGGGAACCATGGAAAAGATGAGTGTCTGTTATTTAGGGAGGTGGTTGGTGAGCATCGTTTATCTCTTTATGGATGTAGGCCGGGACATACCGAATTATCTGCTACATTCCTCGGTGATGTGTTTCGAACAATCTTTCCTGGATACCTGCCCACTAGCTCATCGATCGGGGGGCTTGAAATGTCATATACGAAAACGCTGCTGTCATTAGGGAGTTTGGTGGCGAGATGTTCGACCATGTGCTTTCCCATGGCTCCGAGGCCAATGAAGCCGACTCTGCTAAAATCGAGTGCAGTCATGATGGTTTTTGGTAAATTTTACTGACGCTAATAGTTTCTTTGGCTTCAAAAGAGACTACTCTTCCGATTTATACGAGCTGCCTACGAAGTCCGCATCTTCTTGGGCAGATTGTTGGGGAAGTTGGGGAAGGAAGCCGGTCAATCCACAATGGATAATGACGGTTCGGCTATATAAATTCTTTCCTTGATTGCTCCTTGTCTGTTGATGACGTTGATTCAGTTGGGTAAGGTGTCGCCTACCGAGGTAAGACGAGCATCAACATGAGGGGTCGAGTGGGGGTATTGGGGAAGTAGGGTTGCCATGCGTGAGCTTGTTCACATTGATACCCCAACAATGACTAGTCTTCGTAATTTGCGAAGGTCTCAACTACAGCTGATAATTATTCGGCGATATGACCATGGTTCGGCAAAATGACACGACATTCATGACCGGGAGTGAATGGCTGGAGTATAAATAATCACAGTGATATCCGGGCTCGACCATAAAAGCCTTAACCATCACCTTGACATCTCACTTTAGACTACTGGAATTCCAATTTATCAAATATGTCTGTTCTTCAGCCGTCATGCATGCCCGAGGGCTCCAAACTATGGGTATTCTCCCCAAGTGCTTGTAATCTACCAACTCAATACAAACAAATTCCGTACAGGTCCTTAATCTCGGAAGTCTGGACAGCGATGCCTCCGGTGTGCTTTATGGAGCGAACATCTTCCCCGCACATCTGCCGCCACAGCAACATGAGCGAAGATCACTAGTCATGTTTTCCGCGCTCATCCAGCACCCCACGGCCGGTCTTATTCTGTTCGACACCGGGTCATGCGAAGACGCAATTTCAAACTGGGACTCTACTATGATTGAATGCATGCCCCGGGTCTGGCAGAAAGAGATCAACAGCTTGCCCGCGGCCATCGAAGCCACAGGCGCCGGGTCCATCAAAGACGTGAAAAAAGTCATTCTCAGTCATTTGCATTTCGACCATGCTGGGGGCCTGGAGCATTTTCTAGACACTGGTAATGAACCATCCGCACCTAAGCATAGGAAACAGAGCGACTGACTCTGGAGATAGACGTTGAGATCTGGGTCCACGAAGCGGAATTCAAAAACGCGTTCTGGGCAGCCGCAACGGGCATAGAACCATCGCTATATTCCAAAAGGTATCTCGACGTGTCACGCCTCAAGTGGCGCACTTTTTCAGTGGATCATTTTCAGGTCTTTCCCGGACTAACTCTCCATCGCTGTCCCGGACACACAGACGGGAGTGTTGTGATGGAGCTACAGATGAGGGAGAGTGGCACAAGCATCTTTACCGCCGATTTGTTCCATGTTAAAGAGAACTACGAGGATGGCCGGCCGGCAGGTAGGTTGATGAGGGATTATAATGCGTGGTGGAGGAGCAGACAGTTTGTTAAATGTTTGGTGGAAAGGACAGGCGCACGAGTCCTACTTGGCCATGAACCGAGTTATTCGAAGGCATTTAAGACAAGCCCTGAGTATTTAAAGTAGACCGTGAAACGGATGAAGGCCCACAACCGCCAGAGTATCTGATTACCAGGTTCAAAGTTAAGAACCACATGGCCTCCACTCAGAATAGTGTTTGGTCAATTTTTTTCTGTATGAATGATGGGTGTGATAGTACAATAAACAACAGTGTAGGAACCCCTCAGTTGGTGAGATGTAGAGGAACTTACTACTACTGATACTAGAGTAGAATTTATCTACACTGACCCCTCGCCACAGCGGTATGCAGTATACGGCGATTATATATCTAAGTACGTACACCTGAGATGATACATTATGTTTAGATCCTCGTCGCGGTTTCTCAAGGTCCACTGCCGCTCCCATTGTTAGGCTGCCCGTATGGCGCTCATGGCAAAGCCTTTGTGACGCCTCAGCGAATTCTAATACATTTCGGACCGTTTTCGGCCTCGGAATAAATGTCTTTGAGGCGGAGTCGTGAAAATCCACGAGTCTGTCGAAGAACGAATTGCGACACCGAGCTTGATTTGGATGTATCGCCCGAGGTTGCTCTGGACCAGGCGACATTAAGCTATATGCTCGAAGAAATGCAGTTCATCGTGCAATCGACTTACCCCGCATTGAGGCTGACTTATATATCTTGCATTACAGCCCGCCAGTATTTTTTTCTAGCCTGGTGCCTTTCTGATTAGCTTCAACCTTCACTTTCCCTGTCTACGCCGGATTCTCTGTAATCAGTATCAGTAGCTCACGACTCCTAGCTCGAAGATCGGCAACAAAAGACGAAATGACCGGTCCAAGCGACTATACGGTTGGCTGGATTTGTGCTCTTCCATGCGAATATGCTGCGGCACAATCATGCCTCGATGAGGAGCACGATGATGTGTCGGTAGATGCCTCCCAGAACGATTATAACGATTACACTCTCGGACGGATTGGCAATCATAACGTTGTTATCGCCGTTTTGCCCAAGGGTGGACATGGTACAACCTCTGCGACAGCCGTTGCGCGGGATATGCTGCACTGCTTTCCCAACATTCGTGTTGGGTTGATGGTCGGCATTGGTGGTGGCGTGCCGACGAAAAAAGACATTCGACTTGGCGATGTGGTAGTTAGTCTGCCTCAGGACAGCATGAGTGGCGTGTTCCAATATGATTTTGGAAAGTCGATTCAAGATCAGGAGTTCGTCTACACCGGTGTTCTTGATCAGCCTCCGGCCGCGCTACGTGGCGCAATGGCTAAAATCGAAGCACGGTATTGCCTGAAAGGGCATCAGATCGAAGAAAGGCTTAATGCCATTCTCTCCGAGAATCCACGATTGCGACAGAAGTACAGCAGGCCCAATCCAACAAGTGACCTTTTATTCAAACCTGATCTTACGCATGACAGTATTTGCAATGGCGAAAGCGGATGTGTGAACGACCACATGAATTTGGTCGTGAGGCAAGAAAGATCCCAGTTTGAAGCCATCACCATCCATTACGGCACAATTGCTTCAGGAAACCAATTGATGAAGAACGCTGTGATCCGTGACAAGCTTTCCCAAACAAAAAACATTTTATGTTTTGAGATGGAAGCAGCCGGTCTAATGAATCATTTCCCGTGTGCGGTTATTCGTGGAATCTGTGATTACTCGGATAGTCACAAAAACGATCAATGGCAAGGATACGCTGCGCTGACGGCTGCTCTCTATACCAAAGACCTTCTATCTCAACTGTCCCCTCGCCAGGCCAATGTGGAGAAAAGGATGGCAGAAATTTTTGTTGAAAGGATCGTTCGTTTATAGGTTCATATGACATAGCTTAGGTATAAGTAAGCTCATTATCACTTTTCTTTTATAGAATTAATAATCTTTATTATATTATTTTTATTAGATTATAAGTCTGAAAGACTTTAAAACATCTCTAAATTTTACTAAAATAATTATTAAAGCTATATAATTATTATATTTAAATTTAATAGTATTTTCTCTATTTTTAATAATTCTTACTAAGAGAGTTCTCTAAAGACCTGAATAATTAGTTAAATTAATTTATAAAAATAATAATATAATATTTTTTTTATTAGATAATTAATAAGATATCCTATTTTATATACAGGATATTAAATAATATAGATTCTTAAAAAGAGTTAGTATACAAGATCTTTTATATAAATAAAAGAGAGACTACTAGTAGACTAGTATTCTAAATTTTAAGAATTATAATTAAGATATCTTATATACTTCTTATAATAATATTAAAGCTATATAGTTATGAGAATTATAATTTATAGA